GGGGATGAGCGAAAATCGCCTTATAGTACTCTTGAAAGACTTCCTGTCTAGTGCTTCGATGTTTTTCGCAGGCGCACGACATACGTTTGCCGAGTCGTTTATGGCTATCATGAAAGCTGCCGCTAAGCGGACCTCGCAATTCGACCACAATGCATGTTTCACAATTTGTGATTTTCTGGAAGAAGCATTGGTGGCTTATGACAATTTTGTTGACGTTCGAAATCCCGGGTTCACCTACGTCGATTGGCCTTTCTGGATCGAGGTTTGTAAGAAAATATTGAACTCGAATCATACGATGTCCGAGATTCGAGTTGTCTCTTTCATCTTCTCGATCTGGGATGCTATCGAAAGCAATCAGTCACGTAAGGAGATCGTATGCCTGGAGTGGTTACTCCAAGAGGAGGTATTCAATAAGCTCTTTACCAATTGGTGCCCTATGGTTAGAGCTTATTATATGCGGTTGCTCTGCTGGAGATTATGTAGGGACGCTGGCAATGCGACTGATGCAGACGCGTAAGGATTTTGTGTCCCCCCATACTGGAACCCCGCTCACTCTGCCACAGCAAAATCTTCCTCGTTGTTTACTTACGCCTCAAGACTGTATGGTCGCATTATCTTTGGCTAAAGCAGGTTGCGGACCAGCAAAGAAAGTTTCCGCCGTCGACTGCGCCATCGTTTCCAGCCCCTGGGAAGCGATTCATGATTATTCGTAGTGAATTGCCTACTGCGCAGCCTGGACTTATGATGAGCTTTGACTCTTCTACTTCATCGCCACAAACTGACTTGCAGTCAAACCCAGCAACTGACTTTGATTCCATGGACGTCATTGACTTCGACGTCGAGCCAAGCTTTCAGAAGAAAAGAAGCAGCATTCTAGGTAAAATTTTCTCCTTTAGCGGTAATGCTTCTGCCGGCAGCGATTTAGAATCCGTGAGACGCGAGACTGCGGCTTCACGTACTCGACCAATCTTACCGTCCAAGAGTTCTGCAAGCATCAGCCCGCCCGCATCTGACTCGGACAGCATAGGCTCGTCGCCCATTTACGAAGATATGCGATCTATTTTCAAGTTCACGCTGTCATGGAACCCTGCGGGCACAATGCCTCCGCCCAATCGTATCCTCACTCGCCCACGGCTACCAAGTCCTGCACAATGCTGTATCGCTATGAAGGGTCGGGCTGACAATGCCAATGCACCGCCACCTTCTCCTAGTCATCCGGCTCCAACTCGGGCGGTATCCGGAAGCCCTAATCCTGGGTTGGTCGATTCCGCGAGGAATGCCGATCCGTCCGAGGTACCTTCGTCACCTCCTCGCATTTCCATGACGTTTGACCGCCAGCAGAGTTTTGGCCAGATGAGTCCTATTGAGAGAAGCAGCGATGATCTACCACTTAACAGGCCTGTGAGCCGATCTAGTGAAAACAAGGATGAGGTGTCCCTCCGCAGCCCGACCTCAATTGCCCCAACACAAGAACCACTTGTCATGCCAGTTGAACCAAAAGGTGTTTATGCTACGGGCGCTAAATATGCCGGCCGAGCCTTGGCTGAATGGAGCCTAGTCGTTGCCGAATGTAATAGTTTCGTTGATCGAAGGCGAAACGAGGGTGTTCAAGGTTTGAGGGATGTAGAAGTGCCAGCTCTTGAGATGGAGGGCTTCAGGAAGCTCGCTTGATTCACTCTCCAATACCTCGAAAAGAGGTCTTAGGAACTTGGATTGCATACCCGGCGTCATATTGCAACATGTTGATTTCGTTCTTGCGGAATGTGGTAAAAAGAGCCAGATACCTTACGGGGAGTTTGGAGTTAATATTTGGCAAATTCGACATTTCGGACAACTATTTGACTTCGCATACATAGTTCGAAAATTCGGGAGGGGTCGGTTATATTTATTTCTACTTGCAACCGAATCGTTGACTGGCGTTGAGGAATTCATATCTGGCGCCGAGAAACTCGAGTTTTCTTCTCATGACCAGGGAATGACACAACACACCCCATCAGACTTGAGCATATATTAGGTTAGGGCTAGGAGGTACCGGATATAGCTTGGGAGCGATCAATAGAAAAACACAAGAAAACTTTACATTAGGGACGGATTAGATCAAGGTAGCAGATATGCAAATGCACTTTGCAGTTTCGGTTCATAGCCGTGTAGGTATATACATAAAAGCGGCTCCATCGATGGGAAAGAGTCCATAGACTCTCCAGCACATGAGCTTGAGCTTGTATCATAGCATTGCATTGCATCAACCAACCGTCAGGACGGATTATAGAATATTACTCGACAGTAGGTTCGACTTGAGCCTAATACCCTCGCCTGATTTCTCTTGAACTTAACCTGATTATCTGATGCTTTCAACCGCGAGTAATGCATATTGTTTTGCTCTTTTCATATACATTTTCTACTCTAAATTATTACGACGACTGAGCAAACCTGCTTCTGGCTCTTAACCTATCGCCATATAAGTACAAGCAGATCATACCAACGGCGCACACAATCGAGAGACCGCCAAGCAGACTTACTCCTCCACCCACGCCGAGCTTTTCGTACATGGGCTTGGAAAATAAGATCGAGCCAGCAGCGAAGGAGCTTCGTGCAAAGGTGTTGGCGGCAAATAGGGAGGCTGAGTATTTCGGATAGCACCGAGCAATATAGAAGCTCATACACTGAAATGCGATGAAGATGGAAATAAACAAAATTGTGAGGCCAATGATTGGCACGATCCAGTGGATATCTGGTCGCGAGGTCCACGCTAATCGCAAGAAAAAAAGGAGTCCATCAGTATTCTATATTCGTTCGCGAGAGGTCTGGGATGAAAAATAAAACATGTTACTCACCGAAAATGAACAAGCCGATCGGGGCAAGAAATGTCGTCGCCACTCCCGGAAGCAACCTTGCTTCGGGAAACCCGTATAGGGGTGGCGGTTCCCGGCGCATTACGGGCTCCGCCATGAGTCGGAACCAGCCAATATAGCCTAACACGGCAATGAACAGACCCGGGAGGAAAGCCAGGAACGGCAAGCCGGACTCCCCAAGATTAAAGCCGTGCATGTCGGAGAATACCATCGGGAACGCCTCGAAGAAAGAATAGTACGTTGCGTAGAGGACTGAGGCGTAACATGTGGTGTAGAAGATGGCAGGGTCAAGAGCATTGATCTGAAATGGTTTGATCAAGGCGTAGACAATCTCTTGGGATATACTCATTTGAGCGCGCTTAAGATCCTCCTTACTTATCAACTCGGACCGTCCCGTGCGAGCTCGAAGCCGGTTCGCCCTCCTGTGTAAGATAGTATCTGGGTTCGTCTCAGGCAGGGTCAAGAACATGAGCACCCACACCGGCGCCGCCATCCAGAAGAGTTCCCATCCACTCCATCGCCAGCCCTTCTCCGTTACCGCAAACCCGGACATGATAGGCCCCAATGCTGGCCCAAACGTCGCCGACGTCGACCATACTGTCAGCACATAGGGCAGTTTCCACGCCACGAACATGTCGTCAAGCGTAGCACCAGCTGCAGCAAGGCAAGGCGACCCAAAGAAGCCTAGCAGAAAGCGAAGCACGAATAACCCGCTCAGGCTATTAACTAGTGAGGCACCAAGTGCTAACATCGTGAAGATGAAAAACGTCACTATGAAAATCCCAGAGCGTCCGATTGCTGGCATCTCGGAGAGCGGCGACCAGAGAAGAGGTCCGAGCCCGTAGCCAAACACATACAGCGCGATGCCAAGTGCAGCTACTTCGTAACTCGCGCCGAAGGAAGCCATTATATCTGCTTCTGCTGGGGCATACAAAGAGGAGCCTATGTAAACGGCAAAGGTGTATAAGCCCATCTGCGTGGTGATGAATACCCTTTTCCTGAACGGCCAGTTCAAAGGATTGGCCGGGTCTGTGGCACCATACCAGTCCACTATGACAGGCTCACGTACAGGAGTGGTGGACACGGGTATAGTCTGGACAGACGCCACACCGCCTTTAGGGGTTGCATTGCCGACTACTGCTGGGCTCGGCAAACTGCTCTCCCATATCTGCGAGGTACCGGCTTCAAGGTCCTTCTCGTCAAAGGGCGTCACCGTGCCCGTAGAGAAGGCCGACGGCTCGACGCAGGAGGTGAATGCATCTTGCTTCTTTAGTTCATCATCTAGCTTGCGGTCTAGGAGCACGGTTGGACCACCGGTGCTTAGACTCGCCGGGAGTTGGAACGAGGGGAGCTCCTCTGGGTAAGGGAACAGATCCTTGCGGCCGAAGACTAGGCGTGTGATCTGCCCGATGCTGGTCTCACGGATGACTTCCCGCATTATTTTAGTCGCCTGTCCTTTGGGTGCTAGCAACTGACGATGGGCAATATAAATCGAAGGAAGATAATGTGGCAAAGAGCTTGAGACGAAACCATGGTTTATTCCATCTCTAGCGAGTGCCTGATCTTCTCCTTAAAAGTTGTGCGTGGGAAGGAATCGTGGCGATATCGCAACATTCTCTTCAGGGTCCGCATGCACGAGACAGCTTACTTCAGTCTCATCCCATCCACACACCCACTCACGATAGCGACCTGATTAATCTAGATTTTGTGCCTGAGATAACGACTTGGTGAGGATGCTCCGGACAGCTCATCACGATATGAGGTCAGTTTAGGTAGTGTAATCTCGACTACGGCATGTGTACGACACGACCTTCCCGGAGATCGCGATTGACGGCCGCGGTTCTGAAGTAACAGGAACCACATTCTCCATCTGATTGGTTAAACGGTGGTGATATATGCGCATTTAATCATATCGGTTCTAGACTTCCAGATTTGTAAGCTGGAGATAAAAGTCTGTCAATAACTCAGGTTTGCTCTGCACTTGGCTTGGCGGCTTGTGAGTCAGGAAAGTTCTTAGCTCGATGCGAGTCGTGCGTATAATTCGAATATGTTGATGCCCAAGGCCGGGGACGGATTAGCATACCGAGATTACCCACACGAGGAGACGGTGAGGGTGTGCAGAAGACGAAATTTTGAAGAGATATAACTGGCAAGTTCCTTGGAGTAGGTCGCTTTTCTGGATATAGACACGGTTATATGTAGGAACGTGCGGAATGCATACATACCGTACGTCCCCGGCAGTTCTTGACCCGGCCGAAAAGATTCAGGGGTCGCGAATGAACTCCCGATATTCGGTGGTAGGTGGGCTACAAACCGGCCAATGAAGGGCTATGGAAGTGTTGGCTCCCTCCTACATTCTACATTTACACATGCAGCATAACCCGGCCCGGAATATGGTAATGGGGTCGTAGACTCCAGTTTCTCGGGTTAGGAGATGTGTTTCCCGGGTATCCGAAAAGGTTTAACTAGGGGCTTACGACTGCATCCTGATGTTCAAGCGAACCCTAAACGGGAGATCCTGATTCCATTTTTTCTTTTTCTTTTCCATACAATGTGGACCTTACTGATATTGATATACCACCCATCTCGTATAAAGATCGTATCAAGTAGCAGCAGGTTGTGGAACATATCCGCCTGTAAGCTCGCTCCATTTATTCAGATGTCCAATCTTGTCGACTTAGACCCTTATCATCTATCTCAACGGGGATCGTCCTGTTGGCTTCTAGTATACTGTATTCTCTCGATCCAGCTGTAACGGTCTAGAGCTGATATTCTATACTACAAGTTTATCCCGGACGTCTCTATCCCCACTTGTATTTGATGTGCTATCAAACTTCTGCAGATATATCACTCTTCTTCTTCAAGTCATTATCCACCACATCGTCCAGGATAGCATCATCCTTCTTGGCAGCGGCAATTCTCGCCAGCTTGAGCTTCCGCGTATCGCTCTCAGTCTGGCGGGTGACCCACCAGGTTATTAGGGTAGTGATGATGCAGCATGCTACGAGAGCCATGGCTATAGCAAAGGATGTTTGGTACCGTGGAGCGTAAGCACTCCTAAAGATCTGGGGACCGATGGCGCCTCCGATCTGGCCGTAGCTATTTACAAAGCCAATGGAGAATGCAGACCCAGTCGCCCGGCTAGTTGTCTGGACACGCCACGGCCACATCATAGGGAACCAGGCACTAGTAACTGTAACAAGAGTTAATGATTACTCCTTTTATTAAGGGGGTAATGGGTTTGGTGACGTCTCGAAACCTCAATGAGGATATACTATCCCACGAAACAGATTATAAATAGAGAAGAATGGAACTCTCAGCGTTACATACCAGCGTTTCCAATCATAGTCGCCGCATAAACAGCGCCGCTATTAGGGTATGCTACCAAAACCCCGTAGCACGCGAGAATGATAGTGAGGAAAGAGAGCGGATATAGCGGTCTCGGGAGCCGGCCGTTATCGGCGAAGACCCCAGATACGCCGATCACGATGAGGCCTAAGATCGTGATGGGGAGGTTCAGAAGCTGCGCCTGAGCAATCGAACTGGAATGAATATGTCGTCAGAATCAACAAAATTCCCGTCCATATCCCTCGTGGACTGGAAGAGACTTACGTAAACCCAAGGTCTGCAATGACTGTTGGCTGATAGAAGCGCACCCCTGAAGTCCCAACTGTGAAGAAAGCCCATATGAAGGTGAAGAGCCACAGTCTCTTGTCCCTCAGGGATGAAACAATTTCCTACAATAACTCAGATATTAGTACTTTTTCTCTCTTCGAATATGTGATATAAGCAGCAACTCTTAGATTAAGCGGATCATGTGTTTCTGACTCCTATCATTGGCCCCTAAGAAGAGAACAATAGGGGAAACTCGGCATTTTACATACGCTGAGCTTGAAATCCTGCTCTGTAGCCCTTGGCGAATTTGACGGGAGGCGTGCTTGTATGAATGCTTTCTCCTTATCTGTCAACCAGGACGCTGTCTCGGGAACTATTAAGACTTTGTCAGTGCTCAAGGTCGCCGCGTCGTCCAACCAAGTTAACTTACAGTCCGGTAAGAGGAACCATACACCGACCCCCATGATAATCGTTGCTATTGCTTCAACTAGGAACAACCTGCCGAATATTAGTGATCTGTGTGGAAGATTACAGGAGCTATTAGTAGTCCCACCATTGCCATCCAGATAACCCTCCTGCTCCCGAAGCATGGTCAAAAGCGAACGCAAGGATTCCACTAAATATTCCACTTAAATTTCCGCATACATCTAAGATATATATATATCAGCCCTAATAATAACTTATTCATCTTGCATCTACCCACAGAAATAGAGAAGCCTGAGGGACATTTCATCCGGTCGATACCAGTAGGTCATCTGCAATATAATTCCTGGAAACATCCCAGCTTCCGCTAAGTTAATGGTCAGCAAGGCCTCGTTCGGTGGTCCAAGAGTTCTTACCTAAGCCCAGAAGAAATCTCGTCACGTATAAACCCTCTTTATTCTTAACGGCGACATGGCATGCCAGCATAATTCCCCATGTAATCATCTATAGCTCATCATTAGCGTCCACGTAAAAAGAGGTTCGTTTCATGCTCTCGATAGGGGTACCAGAGGAGCTTACAATTCTCGACTGCCAATGTGAAGGTGAGAATTTCTTGAGCAGTAGATTCGAAGGTGCTTCTCCGACTATGTATGGTATCTGTTTGGCACAGTGAGTTTTCACCATCAATCGCACTCAATCGTATCATAACTGAACTTACATAGTATAAGACGGTAACTAAAGCATATTCATTGGACGTCAATCCCAACTGAGTCATGATATTATCAGGAGTTCCTCTATTCATAATACGAGCGTTTGAAACCTTAAGCCGCTCATATTAGTCGCGCTCCCTCGTCTTCAAATTATGGCTAGAGATGTGATATAAAGCTTACATTGTCCGCATCCAAATTCTTGAACATGAAGATGATAGAACATAAAGGCATAAGGTGCCAGTCAATTCGTCGAATGAGCCTCTTCTCTTCTTCTGCCGTCAATGCAGTGCGCGCACGCATGCGCTCGGCATCATATCCATCGATGGCCTCGCTGGCCGATACATCGTCAGTTACCTCGCCCCTTCGGGCGTGGTGGAATCCATCATTCACGCTGCTTGAGCTAGAATCCGCAGCAGCTTCAGAAGCCGTGGCTACAGTCGTCTTTGAACTCGACATCTTCTTTCTGGAACCAGGAGGCCGCAACCTTCTATCCGGAGTAAAAGGAGGTTACTCGGATTGAAAAATTATTATTTATGTAATGCAGCACCGTATCAAATAGGCTGCATCTTTTAAGTCCGAGGATGAGTTGAAGAACGACGAACGACGAAAAAAACCCAGCAGAAGCCCAGCAATGGTCATAGAATCATTGCCCACTATTATTACGAATTTCTTGCTACACGCTCGCCAAGATACAACATTACACTTAACTGGTATTATCTACTAGCATCAGTTCTATAGAATAGACAAGGTGGCGTGGTGCGTACTGGTCGCTATACAGAGACGCAGCATCCCGTTTATCTTCTTGTTATCGTCGATACCTACGTGCTGAAATTAGACAATATAGGGCCCTTTCTGATAGTGTGATAGGGGATTGGGAGTTGGGGTTGGAGCTCTCGACCGATCAGAGTGTACGCCCCGAGATTCGCCATCGGCCAGGATGATCACGACTTCGCTTAGCTCACATCGAATACACAGAACTGACAGAATCCGGTAGTTTGGAACCGACGGCCCCCCCCTCTTCGGTCGGTAGTACCCTTGAATCCATTTAGAATGAATGTTCGTAAGCCGATCACGCAATCGTGGAGGTCGTTACATCGGATCCGACGTCTGCTTAGCTATGCCATGCATAAATCGAGCCGTACCTCCGCGGATTACGGCGATCGCGTATTGTCGCGAGGGGTCTTAAGTAAAACTTCATACCGTAGCCAGTTAATTAACTAGGTATATATCAATCTATATTGAAGATTGATATTGAGATTACCAGGATGGCAGCAGTCGCTACTAGAATCGCCGCGGGGAAGGCGGATATACCAACCTATCACCAGGTTCCAGAAACAAAATACGAGCGTAAGAGAGCTTAATTTGCATTCATAAGGCGCCGTATACGCTGATATCGTGCGATCTAGTTGACTGGGCAGATCTTGTAACATTGGATCTCTCCCAATTCGACCAGCCGGAGGGAAAGCAGAAACTTGCGACACAACTATTTGACGCCATTCAGAAGATCGGCTTCTTTTATATTACCAACTTCGGTTTAACCCAAGAACAGGTGGACAGGCAATTTGCTATCGGCAAGGAAGTATTTCAGCTGCCGACTGAGGAGAAGCTGAAATATCGAGCAGACCTTGAGCATGGGGGATATAACGGCTACAAGCCGCTCGGGCTTCGTGTAAGTTTCTTCCACCGGATATTATATACTACCTCTCAGCTAAGATTTTAGTAGCAAGTGAAGCCTGGAGTATACGACAACACCGAGATCTACAACATACCCAAATTTATACCCGCATTCGAACAGCCACATCCTGAGGTTATCAAGGAGAACCGGGAGGAGATAGAGACCTTCGCCCGGCACATCAACGATAACATTGTAGGCAAGCTCCTCGTCCTCTTTGCTATCATCTTAGAGCTGCCAGAGAATTACTTCCTGCAAAGACACCGGTATGAAGAAAAGAGCGACTGCCATTTGCGATACATGAAATACCACCACCGGACCGAAGAGCAGAACAAGATCCTAGAGAACGTATGGGTGAAAGGTCATACAGACTTCGGTAGCCTGACTCTACTTTTCCGGCAGCCCGTGAGTGCCTTACAGGTTCGCACACCTGAGGGGGAGTGGAAATGGGTTAAGCCGTATCCGCAAAGCATCACAGTAAATCTCGCCGACTCGCTAGAATTTCTGACAAATGGATTCCTGAAGAGCAGCATTCATCGTGTTGTTGTCCCGCCCCCCGACCAGGCCAATATAGACCGGCTGGGCGTTCTATATTTCGTGAGACCCGAGGACAGCCTCGAATTAAGACCCGTAGTGAGCAATGTGTTGGATCGCCTAGGATATAACAAGACCACAGATGGGAGTGCAGTTGGTATCACTGCCGGAGAGTGGGTGAAGGCGCGTGTCGCCGGGGGAGTTTCCAAAGATAAAGCGAGGAGTGATGTATCTGAGCAGGAGATCATCCGTGGGAAAACAGCTAAATATTACGACTAGACGTACTTTTTGATAAATATAGCTAACCAACCCAAAACGAATTCACGTCGTCTTGTTACGGCAGTGAACGCTCAGCTATTCCCCGTTGACCAATAGTGCATCGTCGTTGATGTACTGATCGTACACTTCGGAGTAGAACTTCTTGCCGTTCTCGCGATGGCTGCGCACCTTCGTCCGTAGCTGAGACTCTCCCCAAGTATCGTATTGGCCCTTCAGGAAAGCAGAGTCGATCGCATGCCCCTCCTCAGATTCCCTGCCGATACTAAGGGTGCTGAAATGCGATTTAAGAGACCCAATCGCCTCTGCCTTTGTGAGGTTTCGACGAACACCCTGAAAAAACGGTACGCTATACCTTTCGTGCGGGCCTGAGAGAACTCGGTGCGTTGTGGCTTTGCATATCCCATTGGTCACCACCTCAAAAGCTTGGCCGATATTGACGACGAAAGTTCCAGGTACTACAGGGACATCGACCCAGTCTCCCGCTTTGTTCAGGACTTGCAATCCCTTGACTTCAGGAGGCGATGCTTGAAGCAAGAATGTCCACCAACCCGAAGAATCCTTGTGAGGGCCAACACCTTGCCGAGAACTTGCAGGGTCGCCGTCTTGCAGTGCAGGATAGTGCACTAACTTTAAACGATGCTGATCTGATAGAAATGGTTGGAAGGTTCCAGACGGAAGCGAAAGGGCCTGAGCAACAAGATCTAAAAACCGTTCTCCCAAGGTAGTGAGCTCTCGTATATATGATTCTACCACAGACCGAAGTTCCGGATGCCCTTTTGGCCACTGCGAAAATCAGTATCATATGCCGTTATAGACCTTGGGCTGTAGACAGACCTGGTTAGGGCCTCGCAGACGTTCGTACAATGGGAGGCCGGAGTGCCATGTTGCTGTAAGCTCCGTAGCAAATTCAAACTGTTCCCTCTGATCTTCTTTACCACCTGTATTCTCACTACCAACACCGCCATATCCAAGGAAATGCGGCGAATTCTCTAATGCAACAGAATTCTTGGCATCTTTATCCAGCTCGAAGAGTGTAGGTAATACATTCACCAACCCGTCAACAGCGACTTCTGGGACACCGTGATTTGATACATATAAAAAGCCAACTTCTGTAAGAGCATAGCGAAGACTATCTAGCAAGCCAGGTTTAGTTGATTTGTCATCTGCTCGCGAAAGATCTATTATTGGGATCTCGCTAAATGCTGTAGCCATTATCTGTAATTGATGTCATGGAATATAAACGACCTACTATAGGATTTTAAACCCAATAAAACAAACTTGGCTCAAGAAATTTCCGTTGAAAGGATAGGTACCAATGCGGTACAAGTGTAAATCACGCCATTTTAACCATATACCGTGACGTTTCCAAGCCATTTCACTTCTCCGCAGCTTCAGATCACGTGCCAGAGCAGGCCAACAGTTCATAGCGTATATGTAGACAACAAACTACATAGAGCTTTGCAGGTAGGAAATGCCATGTATTAATACAATAATTGAAAGAACGTGTATCGAATCACTTGTTCAGTCGGGACGCTCTCTTAGGATCTCTCCAAAATAGGCAGGCTTCGCGTCGGATATCGTCCGGCTCGGCTTTAGTATCTTGGGGCTGTATAACAAGCTGGAGTGCTGGTTTGGAATCGAGTCCATATCCCTCAGGCTCATACTTGGGCCACTCAGGAGAACCTGGGTACCTATGCGTATTTGGATCACCAGTTGCGACGAAGCTGGATAGGTAGCCATGGTGCACATGACCGATTTCTGGGTGCTGCACGTTGGGTTCAGGCCAAGTGTACCTCCCGTCGGCCGCGTGTGGGATCCCGCGCCAAACTGGGAAGCTGTTGTTGGTGTTGAAACGAGCTTTCCAAGTGGGTACGCCGGCGGTGGATACCCTATATGCGGTCTCCTGTCCCGGGCAGATATATCCATAATCACTCCAAGCTGCAGATAAACGAGCGTATTGTAACCCTCTGGGGGAACCTTTGAAGGGAGACGCAGCATCTGTCACAGGATCTGGGTACAGACTTACCAGCAACTGAAGCTCGTCGGTAGTTAGAAGAGGGGCAGTGGTATGCATATAATTTAAAAACTCGTCGTTTGTTTGCATATCACCTGGTACAGTGAATCTTCCCTCGTCCGTGACACTAGTCGTAAGTGTCGGTACGTGAAAGAAAGTACCGTCAAGACCGGACTGCGAACCAAACTTTTCTAGCATTGGACCTCCTTGTGTTGGTTGGAATGGCCATGTATTATTGTACTGAGAATCGTCGTATAATTTTATGCTAATTTTCCTGATATCAGCTAGTTTGGCAGAACGTAAACAGGCTAGAGCTGCTGCATTGTCATTGGTAGGACAATGGAGGTGTGTCATAAACTCCTCAAATTGACGGACGTAGAGAGGGTAGCTAGCATTTGGAAATGATCGCGCGGTGACGGACCCGGATTGAAGGATAACTCTAGCAAAATACGGTTTCCCAGCATCCTCGCCATAGTTGTGAAAATGGTGAATCCCCACGGAATGAGCGCCCGCAGAACGACCACCAAGGGTGATGTCTTCCGGGTTGCCGCCGAAGGAGCTGATATGTTTTTGCATGAAATGTTTCAAAAAGAAGTACTGATCTCGCAAACCAAGGTTGAGGAGGCCCTCTTTACTGAACATCTCCGAGGGCAAGAAGCCAAGCGAGTTGAGGCGGTAGTGAAAACTCACCACGACTATTGGCGCCTTGGATGATGCGACGAATGCGGCCCCATCTAGACTCTTACTACTGCCGAAGTTGAAACTGCCTCCATGAATGTAGACGAAAACAGGAAGTTTTTTACTTAGTGGAACACCCTGCGTCCGGTACACATTGAAATTGAGACAAGCCTCCCCCTGAGCTTCTAGGCTCACGTATCTGGGATCCTGAATACACCCTTTCCCGTATTTCGTGGCTACTTTCACGCCGTCAAACGGAGCTGGCCAGTCGATGGGTTTAAAGCGGCCTTCGCCCACAGGTTGGGTTGCATAATCAATACCGAGCCAAGCATCAACTGGGTGTGAGAATGCAGCACCGCTCAGCGTGGTTTTTACCGGCCTTCCAGTGAAACTTCCATAGCCCTCAAGCGTAATAGGTGTATCTTCGACTGAGAAGGACTCTGAAGTATCCGCCTTGCACGTCCTTAGGACTGAGCACAATTGATCGGAGAGGCTCGTAGTTGTATAAAACGTTCGACCCCAGAAGAGCGTAAAACAAATAACAACAAAAATTGCGAGCCAACCTAACCTTTTCACGTGTATCGCCATGTTATTGGAGTTAGAGGCTGAAGGAAACTTCCGGAATAGTTCTAGGAGGCCTTTCGAGTCTAGGCACGCATCGACGTAGACACACGAAAACCCCTGAGGGTTATGAGGCTTACGTGAGAAACCCTGTCGATAGGCCCAGTGCGGTCTCAAGGGATGCCGTAGTGTAATTCTTTTTGGGTGTAATTATCTAATTTCTAACATTGGATACCTAGATGATGTAATAGATGTAATAGGGAATGGTCGTTGTTCTGGTTCTAAGGACGTGGTGTACGGATTACGTTAGACAGGTAGACGTTGAAGCTTTTCGGGAGCTCGGGGACGTTCGGATACCGAATGCTTACGGCTCATGCACGTACCACCATCCGAGCGGTACATACATATGTAACAGGTACACACATGACATATGTGGATAAGTTGGAGACCTATGTATGTGGCTAGGGCGCAGTTTAGATATTGGGTACCTATAGTTAATACAACAAATACGAAGTAGACTTATTATGTAATAAATTAATTAGAAAATTCACTCTTTATTATGTACATAGGTACGTAAGGAAATCAATTGAGTGATAGATATCAGGTTTTAGGTAGTTTACCCCAAACTTATACGCCGTATGTACCTACCTAATGCCCGTACCTACATAGCACAGTTGCATTATATAGGTACCTAACCTAATAACCTATGCATGTATTGTACATCACTTATGGAGACACACGCTAAGTGACCTAAGTACACGGATTACATGTAATCTGCCACGCTAAGTCATCTGAATAGACATGATTGGCTAGACGGCTGCTCCCCCGGATCTGCCGCGTCTTTAACAGTGGCTTAGCACATGTGAAATGTCAAATTACCCCCACTTTCTGCAATGAATCTAATCCCGTCCAGTCTCCTTCAATTGCACCGACTCTCTGGACACTACTACGTACTGCCCTTCGGTTCGGCATTCCGAGAAGCCCAAGCACTTGGTTTGGACTTTTTCGACATCCTTTTCGATGGCTTCGTTTATATGCCCTTATCGACGTAAAAAGATATATCATTTGTCAGCGGTTACGATATTATGATACGACGAAATAATGCCTCCAAGAAGATCACATAAAAAGTCTCGTGCCGGATGCCGAAGATGTAAAGCTCGAAAAATAAAGGTATGTGTGGTGTGGTCCGGATCTAATTGCGCCTGAAAAGGTGTAAACAAGGAAGGAAAGGAAAGGAACCAAAATAAAAATAAAAAGGGAGCGGCGCAAACTGATGCGTTCGCAGTGCGACGAAGTCCATCCTAGATGTGGAAATTGTACCAAACATGGTGTTGCTTGCGACTTTGAGCATCCCGGCATCGTCGACACCCTTAGTCCAGTCGAAACCCCCCGTCCGACGACATCCACAAGCAACTGCGATAGTCCCTCGACGACTACTTTTCCACCGACACCCTCCGTAGAGTCGAGCACGCCTCTTCCCCTATATCGACATCCAGAGCCTCTTCCCTTGACGAACTCGAACAAAAGTAATCGCATGATGGAGTTAAAACTATTACATCACTACACTACCATTACTTGCCAGACTCTGGCCATATCCTCACCGGTGAGCGAGAAAATATGGCGGGATACTGTCCCAAACCTTGCCTTTACCGGTGCAGAATTCCTAGCCGATGCTTTGCTTGCCGTTTCCGCTCTCCATCTACGGTCACGCGCTCCACAGGATCAAGAACTTGTACGCGCCAGTCATTCATATATGGCGTCAACCCTTTCGGAATATAGTGCGAGGCTAGGAAAGGGCATAACGGAGTCAAATGCTGAAGCGTTATTCCTTACCGCTGCCCTCATCGCGTTCCAGTCGACGGCGTCCCGTATCTTCACCAGGGACGATGGTAGCGACTTCAAGGACCGGTCTGATGGATATTCCTTGCCGCTTTCGTGGTTTCACTCGTTTCAGGGAATCAAGGCTGTTGTGGCTTCTAGCTGGCAATGGTTGCGCCATAGCGGGATCGTGATTCCGATAATCGAGTCTCAACCCGCGCTTAATCTTGATCTGTCGGGACAAAACGCGAATTTCTTCGGGCATCTACTAGCCGGAATGGAAACCGAGGTTGCCAATTTAGATAATCCCAGAACCCAGGAGCTTACGCGCCAGGCCTACCAGCACGCTGTCGCTGTGCTTGACTGGGCTCATAAAATACCCCATACCGGTGCCCCTCTTGTGTTTCTCGCGACCGTTTCGCGCCGTTTTGTAGAATTGCTCGAGTTCCGACGCCCGCGTGCTCTTGCAATTCTTGCTAGTTATTTTGGTTTACTAAAGTCTCTCGATAGTGTTTGGTGGTTGAAGGGCTTAGCGCGTCGCGAAGTCATGGGCATTGTTTCCCTATTCGATCCAGACGATGAAGAATGGTGGCCTCGTCTGCAATGGCCCGTACGGGTTGCGTTATACGAGGGTGATTTCATACCATCAGACGTATGGGGCGCGGAATCTTGCACTGAGCCGGTACTCTTGGACCAAAACGACCCAAATGGAGGCTACGTCAGTCATATTGAGCTCGTGAGTCAAATGTTTTCTGCTATGCAGAATATGCCCCGAACGATGGCAAGCGATATACCCTTGATGCACTCGCCCTCCAGACCGTTTTAGCTTGATCCCAAGAATTCAGCCGGCAGATGTCACTCCGAGATGATACGCACGCGTTACATTGAAACTTCAGTAACTGCACCCGTTCGTATCAAACGTCGTTGATCTGAGATCGGATGGCTTAGCCAAGATATCACCCTCCGGAGTATGATCCAGTCGAGTAGAATGCAATTTGCTTCTCTGGACGCCTTAGGTGTACATCACATGGCTACACAACTAAACGCTATGACGTTAGGAGTTTCCATGAGGCTGATGTACAATAGCATCGAACGATTCATCGCATGTTGGGTGAAAATATGTAATACTGGGTTTTTCGTCCCCTAGGATGCGGTATCCGATACCATGACTTGTCTCTGTGGGGATGGTTTTATCAGGGTTCGAACAGCTAAGGACAGAAGTTGCTAAAGCGACGTAGCGCCGACCCGCCACATTTATTACACGAAGCTATTGGCTTTGCTGTAGAGCGTATTGGTAGAAGATATGAGGGGCAACAGCATATACATACACTTCGACATAGTTGTCTGCCGGTATGTGGCAGATGGGTTAAGATGGGAAAGGCTATGAGGCTCGCTAGCTAACTACCTAATGTATTGTACAATACGTGCAGTTTTAAGCTGACTACGATGTAAGTAAACCTGTATTAAGGAGGGACTAAAAGCACCACTATGAATAGATCAACTTCCCATGTCTGCGAAGTATATGTTATCTACTAGACACCTATGTAATACATGTAATAGCCTTAATTTCCCTGGAGACTCTTATTTATAACGATAAAGGTGTAACTTAGTGACATATCAACAATATTGCCCACGTTGAAAAATGCGCCGAAATAGCATATTAAATATAATATACCTTAACCTAGTAGTTATGAGGTGGTAATTATTCAGTTAAACTAGCACTTACCTTAGGTACCTAAGGTATTCGGTAGCGTTCCGATATCCGAGGCGGATTAATTAGGATTCCGACCCGGACCCCGGGCCACACCTCGGATACTTTAAAAGACGAAGTCGGGATTCGGGGATCAGTTGCGGCACAGCCGGAGTCAGGTTATCCAATGGGCGCTATTTAAACTGTGTGCGGTGTTACTATATTATGCATTATACGATACAACCTGGTATTTACTAAGCATAACATCTAGTATGCTGTGGTATAGATGTAGTTGGTAACTTTAGATCACAGTCTTCAGGTTTTAGAGGTTAAGGAAGAGATGCTGTAGTACATATACTCACACTATAAGATGCTACATATTAGAAAGGATTCGATTCTTAACATATACCTAGGTAGGTATTTAGGTATACATCTAAAAGGTACATTTAAACATAGGTACCTACCTAATGTATCTGGAGCCTCAACGTGAGTGATGTAACCATGCATATATCTATAAGCCACAATTAAGCCAAGTCAGATAACTTGAAAATAAGAAGTGATCGAGAAAAAAGGTCGTGAATTCAGTTATCATCTTCCTATCTTGTATAATGGATCATCGTAGTGCATGGTCTAAGAGTTTCTGGACCTTATTCTTAACTACCCCGCTCTCGGTAGGTAGCTTGCCGTATAATCGGGAGGGGCCGGTAATAGGCTTCTCCTCATAAATGGGGCATGTCAAGGTTGCAGAAGGATCGTATTGAGTTTTGAGATGGAAGTTTTCTATACATAAGTTGGTATCTTTTATCTTACCCCGTTCCGACAAAATAGCTGACCTGGTCGATCTGCTCAACCGGTACTTCGTACACCAAGATTAATGCCATTGATAGCTCGAGTTGCTACTCCATCTAGTCGAATCATATTGTCGAGTCCAAGGCGATATCCCCTCCCTTTTCGTGCGAATATCATATTACACACGAGACTATACTCCAAAATGCTGCAAGGGTGTGTGCTGAAGAACATATTTATCAAGAATGAAGGCCCTAGCATAGGGGCTTGGCAGACTCTGCCTGGCCAGAATGTTTCGAGAATACTGGCACGCACCGGTTTCGACTGGGTGATGGTTGACTGCGAGCATGGAAACATGGATGGTATGAGGCCTAACCCACTCCGGAAAGGAGGCGCTGATTAAACACAAATATATGCTTTGACGTTCCTAAAGATAGAGCTGATACTTGTTTCGTAAAGACGCCGCAATGCACGAGGCCGTCCCAGCTATCGCTAGCTGTGGAGTTAGCCCTCTCGTGAGGATTCCAGATATGCAAGGCTGGATGATCAAACGTAAGCCAATTGATTGAACCTGGCGATACCACAATGTAACTAACACCTAGTTAAGGAGCCTTAGATGCAGGGGCACATGGCGTAAGTAACTAGCAAGCAGTAACGGGTGTTAGAATAACATTAACAGAACAGATTCTGGTCCCTCTTCTCCGGTCCGCTGATGAAGCCAAAAGAATCGTCAGCGCAGCCAAGTTTCCGCCCCAAGGCCAGCGTGGGCTCGGGTCGCCATTCTCTATGGAACGATTCAACCCGGTGCCAACCATGACGGAGTATCTACAGCAAGCTAACGAATCGCTCCTGACGATGGTCCAAATAGAGACGCAAGAGGCACTTGATGCCGTCGAAGAGATAGCCGCCGTCCCAGGAATTGACGTTCTCTTCGTGGGTCCTTTTGACCTAGGGAATAATATTGGTCATCCTATACTGAACGGCGTCATCAAACCTGAGTTAGAGCAGGCAATTGACCGGATCCTAGAGGCAACTAATAAGGCAGGGAAGAAGTGCGGTTTCTTCGCCACGGGCGGAGAACAGGCTAAGCAGTATGCCGATAAAGGATTCCATATGATTAGCGTCGCACTTGACGCGACACTGTTGCAGGCATCGCTGGGCGTGTCGTTAAGCACTGCTCGAGGGCAGCAGGCACCAAAACCCGGTGGAAGATACTAGGGATATCTCATTGCCGTACAGACAAAAAAGGGCGGTGGAATTTCTTGTCCTTAATATGAGTAGGATCATGAACCGATATACCCAGAGCTATAAGTCCTTATAACGAAGTTTGTACATGAGCAATATCACTTAGGTGTCTATGCCTTTATCCCATCCTGAGCTTAGCTGCTTTGTGCTTTCTCGACGAGATCCATTTTGTCTTTGACTTGGTCAGCAGTGAACCGGTGCATGAGTTTGACTGCTTTTGAGGCGGACTGCGGATGCTCCTCTGGGGCCGAAGACTTGCTGATGTGAATCTAGCAAGAGGTTTATTAGTCCAGTTATATTGATTCATTGCTGATGGTTTGAGATATGAGTATTATAATTATACATACTACAGGGACATCAAATTCATAGAGATCTCGCCAGCTAGGCTTAACATCTGACTTGATGATATCAATCTCGCTGAACTGAAATGGCCGGGAATCCCAAACATCGGACAGAACTGATCTGGCTTTGGTACAGAGTCCACAGTTTTCACGCGTGAACAGCGTGATCCTACAGGTCTGAAGCAATCTGCACGTAGCGCGCATTTTGAAGTCCAAAGTAAAGCAGTTTAGATTGGATGAGATTTGGGTTATTTAAGAAGAAGAAAATAGATGGTACGATTAACATATTTAATCTCATGTTAAGCCACCCCAATAGGTGCTAGGATATAGAATATTACCTAAGGTAACAGAGAGAATACTGTTATATGGATATCTGCATAGGTAGTTATCCTATTATACATTCTTGAGTTTATTGAAGGTTAGATAGCTTTACCCCACTAAGCGGGGTTCACGAATTCTGCCTGTGTGAAGGATATGTAGGTACTTTCCGTATGTATAAATGCTTCTAGAGGCATGTACGTACTATAAAAAATGTACGTCATAGGCTCTGAAGTTACCTAAAAAGGTGCTATGTGGACTTGGCTTAGTGCAGAGCTCCCACAAACAGAAGGCGGTGAGTACCTGCTTCGAGGCTCTCGTAGCTTCCATCAGCTTCATCTATGTACAAGATCTTTTTTAACAACAAATAAAATAAATCCAACAAATACACCTTCTTAGCAAACTCTCCATAGGAAAATACATACCAACTCTACTTGATCCAGTAAAATTAAGAGTCAACTGACAACCAATCCTTCTTTAAGATCATACATACAACCAACAATGGCTCAGAAGTGTGTCCACAAAGGTTGTGGCAAGGTTTACACCGATCCGGATGAGACCTGTGTTTACCATCCGGGTCCCCCAATCTTTCACGAGGGTCAGAAAGGTGGGCAACCTATTATATAGCCGACTTAACCATAGGCGACAAGAGATTCGCTAACGCAAGCCTATGTTCACAATGTTTAGGCTGGAAGTGTTGCAAACCAAGAGTCCTAACCTTTGACGAATTCCTCGAGATCCCGCCTTGCACAGAAGGAAAGCATAGCACAACTGATCTTCCCCCGGAGATCGAGAAGAAGACTCCCGAGAATACCGACGCGAATTCGTCCTTAGCTTCAAAACTCACCGAGGCTGTATCAGCAGTACCTACGCGTGCCCCTCTCAATCCTCAGCCTGCTCCTACTGCGCCCCCGCCGCCTCCCGAGTCCGAAGATGACGAACCATCTCTCGAGATCCCCGATGGCAAGGTATGCCGCCGGAAAGGCTGCAATGCAGCTTACAAGAAGAGTCAAGGCAGATCTGATGATGAGAAATGTGTCCACCATCCCGGCGCCCCCATATTCCACGAAGGCAGTAAGGGCTACAGCTGTTGCAAGAGACGGGTGCTGGAGTTCGATCAGTTCATGAAGATTGAGGGATGTAAAACCTCGCCCAGACACTTATTCATCGGTTCTGGACAACAGAAGAACAAGTCCGGCGCGGCCAATTCTTCCGTGACCGCGAATGGCGAGGAGCTGCTTGAGACGGTGCGGCATGACTTCTACCAGACACCTTCGACCGTGATAGCATCTTTCTTCCTCAAGAAGATTGACAAGGATAAAGCGTCGGTAAATTTCGAGTCCCAAACAATTGTACTTGACCTACCAACAAGTGACGCGCAACCTAAGCGCTATAAGACCAGCGTTCCATTGTTCGCGCGCATCGACCCGGAAAAGTCGACGCACAAGATTCTCGGTACGAAGCTCGAGGTTAGCTTGTGCAAGGCGGATGGCGCGAGCTGGCCGGTCCTGCGGAGCGACGAGCGGCTGACCGGCGAGATCTTGCAGGTTGGACGGGCGGGACGAGTGTAGCCTGTCATCTTACCATCATGCCGTCCTAACAGAGTACCTAACAGAGTACTTCGCTACCTGGAATTCTGGTTATCTTGATGATAAGCATCTATGACCATCAGCATAGTAATGAGCAATTTTTGAGGAAAAAAAGTCTACTCGATCGGCACATTTGCAAGTGTTGGGTCAGGCTAATCCCTGCGCAGATCATAGTCCCTCTGGCCTCCCACCCTCCCTTGTCGACCCGGGAACCCGGTATTCCCAATCCCATAGTAGACGGTACGAAGACGTTGAATCATCAATCATATCATACTCTTAATATCAAAAAGACAAGTTTTAACAGTGAATTCCATCTAATTCCATCTTAATAGGCTCACCTGTTCCACTTTCTCAATATGACGCGTAAACACTAAGCGAAGCTTTCGGCTCGAGACTTCTCGGAAAGTTTCTTCAGACTGAAAGTTCGTCGCTGCATAAAGCAGGCCACTAGGTTGGGTTAAAGAAGTATTTACTCTCGTCTTCGTTTATTGGAAGGCTATGAAGATCCGGGCTAAAAGTCTTTCACATGTGGTCTTGGCAAGCCACGTATGAGTAAAAAAGGGACCGCACGGTATTACTTAAGCCATAGTGGCTGATATTGCTATAGATATAGTGGTAAGCCACCTAAATTTAGCGTACGGGCCACTATCCGACTCTTGGTTTACTAAGTATTTAGTTAGCTAATACAGTATTAATAGAATAGGATGACGTTGGAATACGTTGCTAAGGACCCCCCTATTTGGGTCCCTCAGAGATCGGCCAGTCGACACTTTGCTAATTCCTCTGGGTTATGAACCACGAGTCGACCATGTAGGTTAAACAAAAGCTAGGTAGTCCATAATCCAGGTAGCTGTGAATATTCATGAGTCAACGCAATATAGTCAAACGCAATATACACTTAGAATCCAAATGCATCGAGTTATTTACGTGAATCATAATTATCGTATTCGAGTCATGAATCTGCATGTTTCGGTCGCCAAGATGGCTAGCCAGCTAGCATACAAATAAACTTCCATCATTCCCTAGGTAGGTTCAACTTTAGGAGACGATCTTTACGGGATAGTCCGTATATGCATCTTCCCGTCGTCATCTTCTCGTCTTCCCATATTCCCGTCTTCCTACTTATACGTCGACATGCTATGAAGCGACAAGTATCGTCTACTATCAAGTAGATATCCGCATTGAAGCTATGGATCGGTAGAACCTAAAGATCCCATTGACCTACAGCCACCATGCTCCCGTCGTACTGAGCCTTAAAGTAGTAATAACTAAAAGCGAGCTAAGCGCTTCTACTACGTAAAGAAGCAATGATGATGTGCTCCGGCTTAGAAGTAATGTCAAGGTGAATTCGAGAAATTCCCCGAGTGCGTAGAGAGGCGGATAATCGACTTGCCATTTGACAGTCCGACAAAGCACGGCCACTTCCTTACGCGTTCGTCGTCGCCCACGTCCATCTCGAAGTACATGCATATTTCATTTCCCCGGATGCTGTTGTGCTCGTGCGCTGGTTTAGTGCTAGCGAAAAAGAGACGGTTAGATATCGGAGTCTGTGATAAAAGGAGGCCCGCATGGTGGATTTTAGGTATTCGGTACACGAGATTTACGTATGTACTTACCTTGCACAAATAGAGTCGCTGTCTTCCCGTTTCTCGCCCGCCTCGGCATCAATGGTGTCCCTTCGGGCCCGTCTGCGGGCCCGCACGCGATTGTAGAACATTCGGCACGCAGCTTGAATAGCATGTCCGATTCCTGCGACGACTAGAACAGGAGTGCCTAACGCGAGAGCCCAAAGCCTAGAGTAAAGAATTATTTAGAAACCACTACGAAACGAGAGGCTAGGGAAACGTGTCTGGGGTTCTTACGGAAGCTGGACGTTGCTAAGATGATGCCACAACGACAGTACAACACCGAGAATGGCAATCTCGGAACCCAGTTGTAGCGTCGTCCATGTAGACCAGTATAGAGCCATGAGGTCTTCGCCGTCGCAGAATTGCAGTGCTAGAAGCGCGTACACTTCGATCACTAGCAAGACGGCTGCGATTAAGAATAATAGCGTACACCACTGCGGTAATAAGAGTTAATAACTATCTCTCTAAGAGGCTTGGGCATATCTTAAGAGAAGACACCCTTAACTGGCTTGAGTTGGAAGTATTGACTTCCAAGGTACCTAGACTGGAAGGGTGTTTCAGCGGTTCATACAGCAAGGCCGATTTTAACTCTCCGCCGAAACTCATCTTCGCAGAACCCGTGTTTTTCTCGATACATCATCGTCCTATATATCCAGCATCAACATTAGTTAGTTACACTTCAACATCTCGGAGCTCGAAGACTGCATCACGTACGATTGATAAACCCATGACGAAGCAAATAGTATAAAGATGACCAGAAAAAAGAGCGTCCAGTAGATGCCGTCGAAATGGATTCTATCAAGACCGGACGCAAATTGGGCGTAGTGAGGGCATCTCAAAGGGTCGACAGGTGAAAATTGCCCGCCCATCTTGGTCTAGGGACAAACGGTAGACGGGCTACGTGGCGTGTAAATAGTAAATAAATAATAGGAATCAATGACGGCAAACGGAAGATACTTTTTTGCTGTCAAGATATATATAAGTGGTTTAGGTCTAGATGAGAGAGATTATTCCAACACCTTCAGTGACTACGAAGGAAGAGAGGGTATAAATGCCTCAGATAATCGAGCAAAGAAGTGAAGTCTCAAAACTAGAGGCAAAGTATAGGTGAACGCCAAGTATTGTCGAAGCGTCCTATGATGCGCTGCCTAGCTATGATGAATCGCGCAGTCCCTGTCTATACGCCGAAAGAGCGGCCGCGCATATTAGTCCCTAATATTTAGGCTGTAGAAACGGATAGCTTATCTGTTCCTTCAGGCCGATATGGGAGTAGTGATGTACATGATTAGGAGGCTGTGCAATTAGTAGATAAAATTTAGTAGGCAATTCAAGCAAACCTAATAACAACAATAGGGTTGCCATGCTTTCTTATTCACACCGCCCCCGGCTCGTATCGCTGTACATGGATTCGTTGTCTGTCACTTCCGGGGTCCGCGCTGGGGTGGAATAATATCGCGACCAGGTTTTGATGAAGATCGTTGCTAGAAGAGCAGATCCGGCTCTAAACTAATGTTATCTCATCTTGGTATCTTGGTGGCAGGGTGGATATCCTTGGTATACCACAAAGTGGATTCCGTAAGGCTCGTAACAATTCCGTAAGGAATAGTTGGGCTTTAGATCTACTAGAAGTCCATCCCTTCCATTAATTCTGTTCGGTCTAGGACCATTCCCTTCTGACCAATATACTCTCTCAGGGCATCCCAATCCGCTCCCTCCTCCTCGCCTTGGCGCCACTTCTCTCGAAATCCCCACGCACAGGCGATCTTATCCAGGGCGGCTCTCTCTTCTTCTCTTATCCACCGTAGCCGCAAAGGTACTCCCGGGGCCCAAGTCACTCGCTTCATCTGATCGTTCGCAGTAGTTAGCGCTACGAAGCCGATCGACGTTGTAAAGCCTACGTAGGCCAATATACCAGCGAACGCAACATTAGTCGCAGTAGCGCTGTCCATAGTATTTTGAAGATCGGAGAAGTTCGTCGCAAGTACGTATGCCGCCAACGGTGTTGCCGCAAAGGTCCCCACGGGCAGTAGGGCCTTGCGTAAGAGCTTGTTTCGGATGAAAGCTTTTGTGGCATAGGCGTTCTCGATAATCCCAACTGCCGCATCTAAATTCCTAGCCTCAATTGCAGTATCCAGAGCTTTCTCGATCACATTAGGCTCAATAGCATTTGCTACCTTGTTGGGATTTTGTTTTGCGTAGCTGATAGACCCCGCTCCTTCACGAGGCATGGGCTTTGATGCATACAGTTGAAACGCCTGGGGGAGTGTTTCAGGCTTGCCTAGTCGTGCTTGTACATCGACATATTTTTCTAGTAGCTCTGGCGTTATGAAGACGGGCGGGTGAGCTAAGACTGCATAGGCAGTATCTGATATCCTATCGATCATCTGTTTGACCTGGTCCATTATACTAGCAGTAGCAGTATTTATAGACTTGGGAAAGTTAGGATTGCTTGTGCTATCTAGCGAAAGTAGTTCAGAAGCAGCTGAATCAAACTCATTTATCATATGAGCGATTTGTGGTTGTACAGCATCGTCCATGATATAATCAGCCACTACGCGACATGCTAGGAGAGCAGCACTCACGTCCGCTTCTGGCGGTATGCGTTTGTTCAAGAGTACTTTTGATTTGCTTCGTTCCAAATAAGTCATCATATTAGTGACAGATGACAGCTCTTCGCTCGCTGCTGTCTTGGGTGTTGCCCTGATCTTACTATCATGTTCTCCTAGAGTATGCCGAGTGTTACCGGTCTCTAGTATCTTCTTTGTAGTTGGCAATATAGTGGAGGCTAAGAGGGCCTTCTGGAATGCATTTACTCGTAAGGCATGATGCACTATTTGCGGTCGATGCCGGATAGTATTATGAGAGCTCAATGCGGGGTTTGAGGAATAGAAACGACGAGTGAAGATAGAATCGCAAATCTGGCAAACCGACTGCGGTCGCGGGACTGCGGTCGGTCGAGGCATTGCTGCAATTTCTCTAATACGTGGGAGGCTGGCCTGTGGTGAATAATGCCCATGATAGACAGATACAATGAAAAGGATTCAATTAAGACCCGATAGTGAGACTTGGTAATAGAGATGTGACTTTATCGGCTCTTATCTTCCTCGTCACATGCAATATTCCAAATAATATTCAATATTCTTCAATGCCGTGATAGGTGGGGCAATCTACGCCTGCGCCACAAATGTGACGACAACGCGCGGCTGAAAAGCTTATGTTCCCAGTAATTCCAACGACGTCCAATAACTGCTAACTTATTCCTACCTCCTAAACCATCGATAAGGCACCAGCAAATTGCATTTCGCGTCATTACGTACCAAACCGCCTCTCTCACCCCTTCTACTTACAACATTGAAATCAAGAGATACCCATCGTAGTCAAGAAAAAACAGAACATACATCAAAACATACATCAAAACATACATCAATTCACTTTAACCAAGACACTTACACCGATTTCCCGTATTCTTATTAATTCGATACACGCACGGTGACGCCTACTTCAGATCTCAACTTATAACAATCCTCACCGACCCGATACACGCTCCTCTATCTCGCCTGCGTGACTGAGTATTTATACATACCAAGAGAGCCGGGGCCCAATCTCCGAGATGCCTCCTCCACCACCTCCTCCGCCGCCGCTCCCAGGCATGGGAGGGCCGCCGCCTCCTCCTCCTCCACCTGGTGGACTGCCACGACCGACTGCTGGTGCTGGCCGAGGTGCCTTACTTAGCGATATATCGAAAGGGAGGGCCCTTAGAAAGGCCGTTACGAATGATCGTTCTGCTCCCCAAGTAGCGAAAGCGTCAGGGGGGGGAGGAGGCGGAATGCCCACTGGAGGAGCGCCACCTGTTCCTACAATACCCAGGGGGGCTCCAGCCGTCCCGGGCGGCCTCGCACCACCGGTCCCGGGAAATAGAGCGAGTAACAATGACCACAATAGCGGCGGAGCGGCGGAGCCTGCGCCGCAGTTAGCAGGTTTATTCTCAGGCGGCATGCCGAAGCTAAAGAAACGAGGTGGAGGTGTAGATACAGGAGGTAAGTATCCCACAGTCCTACAGTCATATTAGGCTTGCCGACGAAGATTACTTACCGTGTACGTAGCAAACCAAAACGCATCGTATCTAAACGACACAGAGTCGTCAGGCCCGAAAGCGCCATTAGTACCGAGACCCCCTTTCGGATCTGCCCCCGCCATACCAACAGCTCCAGCTCGTGCAGTGCCCACACCCCCGACGACGGTCTCTCACGCCTCGGTAGCGACTCTAAGGAAGGCGATCAGTGATGTCCCAAGACCAAACTCGATGGCATCACTAGCATCCTCGAAAGGTCCCCCGCCACCGATAGGGAAGAAGCCGCCTCCTCCGCCCGGGTCCAGGAAGCCCTCAACCACACCATCACATTCTCACCCGTCTCATCCTCCTCCCTTACCGGGCTCACATGCGCCCCCGCCTCCTCCATCATCTGCTCCAGCGCCACCGGCACCTCCGCCTCCACCACCAATATCCGCGCCAGCGCCACCACCTCCGCCGCCAGTATCGGCACCCGCACCACCACCGCCTCCTCCGGCCGCAGCTCCTAGACCACCCCCTACTACAACGCGATCACAACCTCCTCCCCCTCCGCCGTCAGTACCGCCATCTAGCTCAACATCGCCAAACATCGCAGTCCAAGCAGCGATGCGTGCAACGGCAACAGGAGGCCGTTCTTCTTCTCCTACCGGCACACTACCCCCTCTCCCTCCGTCTTCCGCGCCAACACCACCTCCCATAACGCGAGATCCGTCTTCAAATCGCCAACGCACCAGCTCGAATCTCCGCTCGATGCTAGACCCGAGCACATACACGCTAGCTCCCAACGGCACCAGCAAGAGCCCGAGCCCCACCCCCACAGGCAGCGCAATGCCCAGCCCGCGCGAAGCAAGCAGAGGCGAGCGGTATATCATCCACGACAGCCGCTGGCGTTTCAAGGACGAGAGCGAATTCCCCAAGCCCCGACCCTTCCAAGGCGGTCCCCGCAAGTACCGAGCCGGTCGCGGGAGCAGCGTGCCGCTAGACCTAAGTGCGCTCTAGGGGGGTAGTCGTGGTCAAGGCATGGCAATGCTCAGGGGAAGAAGAGAAATTGGAAGGGGAGTGGGGAGGAAAACAGAAGATACAGGGGGCGTAAAGGAAAAGACCAAAAAAGAAGGGTATGACTGGTTGAGTATCCACTGGTGAAGCTTTAGCTTAGGTACCTAGGTACCCAAGTACGGACCCAAGCTAGGCCTATGTAGGAAATAGAAACGCGGACAGGTTATTCGAGGTCTTGTGGAAAAGGACGAGATGGGAGGAGATATGCCTAGTGTATGTGCATATGTACGTCCATGTATGTGCACTTCACTAGGTTAGAGGAATACCTATTAGTAGCGCAGGCGTTCATTCTCTGGTCTCTACATGCACTAACCTATGTAGTAGGTAGCAATAAGCCCTAGACTATATCACAAGTTGATTAGAATAAGTACTAGTTAGAGGCTAGCAACGTCAAGCATCATAGCAATTATAAGCTTCATGCCTGCGTCCTCTTGCCAAGTTTTACTCGTAAAGTATTAATTTTCATCGTAAGCAGACTTCGAATATATGATCCGTTGGAATTTAGCTACCTAACAAACCAGCTAATAGGTATGCGGTCATGCACATTAGTCAAGGACTATATGAGTAATGTCGTATTAAGGTTTCGAACAAGAAGTAGGAATTGCCATTTCGCACAAAGAGTATAATAACCATGAAGCAAAAGCCAGTCCGTACGCCAATCCAGATGCCAACACCCTCTTTCACCAAATCATAGACATTTTCACAATCACAAATAACGCCGGCCGTTCATACTCCCTAGCTGAGCGTTCCACTATCATAGAGGCCGTTTAGAAGTCGGGTGTTGCAAATATGTCTCTGTTCCCGAAGGGGGCATCTTATAGTTTTTCGCGTCCTGGAAGTTATCTCCCCAGTAACCTACTCCGTCAATATTCTTTACCACCTCAATCGCAGATGTGATAATTTCATCAAATGCCCCAGCTTTCTGGAGCTGCTGAGGTGTCCAAGAAACCTCCTCGCCTATTTCGAGGTCTTGATTCTGCTGTAGTGCCTTATTGATTACCTTGGATTGCAATGAGACCTCGTACCAGATTGGTAACTGGCCACGTTGCCGATCTCCATCGTACTTATCAAACAGGATGGTCACATTGCCATTTTCTCTGCCGATAATCCTTGGTGCCATGTCATGCACCTCGCAGATCTCTAATATGCTCGAAGTTGATGATTTCGAACCATGGGTGTTGGAAAAGGGCTGAATACATGCTCCGTTCCTCGTATAAGAGGCAATGTTGCGGGTTCGAACAAGGACTATCTCAGCCTGGTATACTCCTTTAACAACAAATTCCAAGAACGGTATGCCGGAGTCTTGTTGTCTATATCATAACATTAGCGAAGATGTAATAGATGAAACGGTTCAGTAGCAGTAAACTTACGTGATGCTCATGTTGTTAATAAGGTCCTCTGCAAATTCACGGTAAGTTAGGCCCAAGTCTTGCGACTTGGTGAGGGTGACTTGGAAGTCCCATACCCTCATAGGACAATGCACGAAGACAGCGCAGGAACCACCACCCCGTTCATAGATTCTATAGGTGAGTTCTTTGGCGTCAACCTCCAATGCGAGCTTATGAACCTTTTCGTCTGCTGTCTTAACGCGGCAGTAGATCTCATAAACAGTGCGACGAGCAGTGGGCACCCATAATCTTCGCCTAAAACTATCATGGGCAAATGTAATATGATTTGCATCCTCCCCATCTCCTGTCAGAAACTTTGTGAATATGACATCTTTAGGTCGGACATGATGTCTATCCAAGATCTCTTTCACGTCCTGTAATGACTTGACTTTATCTTGACAAGCGCTGCCCTTCAACCACACATGGTTGTGATTGACCTTTGTGAGACAGAAGCGCCCTAGTTCAGCTTTCAAAGACACTTTACCAGTGAAAGTTTCCAGAGAGCCCATCATTCGGACGAGCTTCTTGACGATGGCTTGGGTCAATTCGGGATCTGGATCTGGCCCTTTATGCACTTTTTCATAACCAGGTGGGCATTCTGGGGCTTGAAACCCATCATACCGGCGGCCTGCCTGCTGTCTCATGGTAGAGCGCCGAGGCGGGGGCGTGATGCTGGGTTCCACGCGAGGCTCTCCTATTTGAGCACCTTTCCATAACTGAATGAATGGGTCATCGCGTTCGGGTTTAGAGGGCGGTGGATGCTGAGGGACTTGTGTTTCTGACTGAGTGATGCTTATTCTCTCATTTTCTTTGTCGATACTTGTTGATAGCTCTTCTGTCTGTTGCTGATCAAACCCGATAAGGTCCTGTTCTACAACTTTTTCTATCGGGGTGTGAAATGACAGGGGGGGGCTTACTAGCCGAACATTCTCATCATTCAGATTTACCCGAGGACGTCCAGAAGGTTCCTGAGATTGGTTGTACTCTAGTTTAGGCACCTGGGCAACCCAAGAGGCAACCTGTGGGTTATTTCTAACGTCGAATAAGACCTTGTCCGAGCCAGGATTTCTAAACATCGGTTTGTAGTTCCATGTAGTGGGCAAGAATGCCTTATATGGTTCATTTCTGTCCCTCGGCGATATAGCTGGTGTAATGGTTGCTGGGCCTTTGATTGGTCGAGAACTGGTACGTGGTAAAGTCACAACAACACCCTGCTCAAACATTTTTCCGTATACGGAAGCCCCCTTGGCCAATTCATATTTCGCACGGTCAAGAAAGAAAGTCCTTAGGATTAGTTTCCTTTCATGAGCCATGTAAGTGAATGCCGCAGGACCTTTTTGCTTGTCCTCAGCATAAATAAAACTCTCGCAACGAGTATCAGCTTGATATGGCGACCCCTAAGAAATATTAGACTCAAACCGTGGCAATAGTAGTGGACCAACAAAACTCACAGCATATCTCGCAAGAGTATCTAACTTGCGTATCACTACATTTACCTCTTGAAGTGATCCACCGCCGATAAATACGGCAAGCTCGCCACTTTCCAACGCCAGGGCACAACCCGTGATATGTCGCAACTTGGCCAATACCTCGGTTGTTACTAGCCTTAAAGGATTTGGACCTCTTCCAAGAAGTCCATTGGGGATCTCCCATAGCGCTCTAGAAGTAGCCGCTTGGATTTCGGGAGGTCCACCGGCTAGCCTATACTCCGAGATGTCTGCGTCTGCACCCAATTCCCCATAAGGGAAAATCTTATTGCTGAAAGACTATATGCATATTAGATACTACTAGCAAGAGGCAGCAAGAGGCAGCACAGCTTTCTTCAAAGAAAAAATAGTAATAGAGAAACAAGAAAACCATGGAAAGAAAATAAACAATAAGAGGGAATACTCACCAATCCGGCAGCGAGCTCTCGTTCGGCTATGCCATCCAACACGGTCTGGCAAGCGGCCATCACCTCCGCTTCGTCGGCGGTTAGGCACCTCACCCTGACCCAAGAGGTTCTCGGGTCGTAGGACACTTGAAGTCTCTATAATCATATCAATAAACTGTTTAATACAAATATGTTTTAAGGCAAAGCAAGTTTGAAAAAGGAATAAGGGTTGAAACCTACTTGGAAGGCAAGTCGGAGTTTGCTAGTGAACTCCCGGAGTCCGTCTGGGTGGAATGCCCAGTTGGACACCAAGAAGAACTCGGTATCCTTTCCCTCTTTCCAGGCAGCTGCGGCTTCACGCGCTTCTTTCTCGGCGACCCACTTGGGGAAGTCGTTACGAAGCGCCTCAGCAACGCGCTCGGCGACAAGATCTTGCTGCACAGATACCTTAGACATGATGTTTCCTATTCTTAGGGATGTTAGCCTTTATTTAGGTGTTCATAGTCTTTGTGTATAGGTATGCATGTTGCAATCTTGTTAACTAGTTGAGAAGACGCGTCTAGTAACGTGTCAAGACGCGTCGTAGAGCACTTACCTTGAAGTTGTGTACACGTAGACAATTTGTTTTCAAAAGACCCTTCACAGTATTAGTTGGTACAATAATGGGGGCGGCGATAAGAGGCGGGTTAGAGGTAATTAGTGATACGGCACAACGGTATATTGAATAGGCAGGCAGGGAGAAGAATAGGACGTTTGAATTTAGTGAGGTCGGCGACGAGATACAAATAAAGAAGGCAAAGAGCCGGCAGTTTTCACACGAAATGAAGTTTTGAAAGATGAATATGCTCCACAAACAACGGCAGGTCACAAAGTCAACTGAGTCTTTAGGGTTGAGAAGTCGCGTCGGCGACGTGATGGGGTTTGTATTGGTAAAGGCTGCAGTTATGAGAAATGATGTATGTGAATTAGAACAGAGAAAGGAATTAACAGTACCTCAATACTTGTTATAGATAGTAGATGGCAAGTTGTTTTGAGATTGATGTTGGTTGTGAGCTTGGTTTGGGTAGAAGAGGTGAAGAAACTGAAGGATGAAGTTTGGAAGAAAGGATTGGAAAAGGTGGCCGCTCACTGCAAACCAAAATTGCATGCAAGTTAGCAGGAACGATTGGGGAGTAATCACCTAGGTAACTACGTAAGGTAGGTAGGTACCTACCTACCTAAACTAAGCGGTATAGGACGAGGGAAGTCGGTCTTTCCGAACCTTAATGACCCAGACGTTCTTTCCTGTCACTAACCGATGCAAGACAGTCCTCATTTTTTGGAATAACCACTAGGCCCCCCTATCTATCTGGGTACCGTAGGTGCCCACAATACATGTATGCCTGCATCAATCCCACATCCTACCTTATCAGGCGCTACTTCTTAGTCGTACTTGCTCTCGGGATGGCAAGTTCAGATCGGTTAGGTTTAGGTACATGTAACATAATAAAAGCACCCCTTAGATCAGGTCATGCCGTAGGTACTGGTGCATATGATGTGCACAAACATGTACCTAACGTACCTACTTAAGTTTTTCTTCTACAAACACATGTGCATTGCAGAGACGGACCTGACCAATCTGGATACATGTAGGTCAAGTACCTAGGTATGTAGCTCATGAACCACGAGATGCTTGCACATGTAGAACTAGACAATATTTTACTGTATTTGATTTTGACATAGAAGACCGTTATATCTAATCTTGTTTATCTTAGTCCACCTAGATAGCTATGGTTAAAGCAGTTTGATATAAATTGTGCGGCTGAGGCTCATGAAGTATGACCATCTGCCATAAAATTCACTGTCCTTCTAATAAACCAAATTAGTATTATAATGGAATAACATTGCGCATCATTAAAACATGAACATGCTACGTACTTAGGCACTTTGAACTACCTAAGGTAATTTATGAAAGGGTTGATTACCTATGTTAATAATTCGTATCACCCTTCATTTGGTGACTTCAAAGACAGACAATCATAAAATTGACCTGGAAGGCATTGAACCAAGTTTGGTGTTCCGCGAGGAATTTTCAACTAAACCATGGAAGTCTATGGCTACCTACCGAAAGCATCCTGTGTTATAGAAGTATTACCTATAATTTTAACAAATACGTTGGTATTTACACACATAAACCCTTGAAGCATACCCCTTTTATTATATTTTACATGATATACTATCCAGCATCGAGCTATACAATGTTATAGACAGTTTTCACAGAGTAAGTCAATAACAAATATTATATAAAATTGGAATAACAAGTAATCAAGGTAACCAACAACAATCAAGACATAGCAAGCACAGCTAAATCAGCCCTTAAAGTACAACGTGTTCTGGAAAAGCTGATTGTACCACAAGGTGGGATCAAATAGCATGGAAACAACTTTATTGTTCTACGAGGAGCCCTAGCCTAGGTTACTACGGGATCCCGTGGATATAAATACTAAACATGCCTGTTGTTCTAGGCCGATGGAAATGCCGACCCGGAGTGGACCACAGGGACAACGGGTTCACAATGATTCATTAATACGTTTCGACAAGATAACATGGTTAAAACATGACGGGTGATTTCATAATACCTCTGAACATTTAACGGAGAATAACCTTCAAGCCAAACAGTATTAATGGTTTGTGATACCAAACAAGAAGAGATGGTTGCTTAACTCTGCCGTTTAAATAATGCTATATGACCAATTTGCGCCATAATAACACATACAACCGTACAGATCTACTTATGTTATATAAAGGGGAAAGTTACATTGAACACCATGATGGGTTAAGACATAAAAAAGAAAGCACTTCGTGATCGGGTAGGGGAGACCTGGGCATATGATAGCCAGCAGATATATTTTATATAAAAGCCACCTTGGTAATAGAAGTTAAAACACTGGCAAGTTGACCTGAGGGAAATAGTCAATGCTTCTTTCATTATTCCTCCGTATGTGGTCGAAAAACCGAGTTCCTTACATTAAGTGATTTTTGTACCTTTGATGATAATACTGAATGTCATCAAGTGCTACTTTTGACGGATATGGTAGCATGGCCTTTGTTGGCCACATAGGTATGTAGTCATTAAAGCTTGCTAAGAAATATGTCAAACACTACCTAACGTCTTCATGTTGTATAAATAACCTGCCATGCCATGCTTGCACAAGGGTAGAAACATCCCTGGGGCTTACATATATTAGGTACTTATATTACGTTTAAGGATATACCGCACATGGTTATGGTGGATAGGATTATTCGATTGTAGGGTATTTGGGTGATTTGATTTGGTGAGTTTCAGTATCAGACGGTAGAAAAGGGGTATTATGCTTATGTAATCATTTTCTTTTCTGGCTGCAGCAGGCTGTAGTTCATTTCACTTAATGGTCAGGATGTGCTCAAATACTTGGTAGGAAAATCCTGGCTTGCCTAAAATAACAACTGGGACGAGTAGGTTCTTTGTAACACGACGTAGTACGGGAGAAGTATTCTAAGCGATGACAATGGTAAGTGTTGGATGCCTTAGCGATTAATAAACTCGAGCTGAGTGGAGCATATTAAGTACCCCTAAATATGTTCATCGCAAATGATTTCTTTCTATACCTACCTATAAACTGGTAACCTGGGTATATACAACGTAAGTGGACAATAGAAGGGAGGGTCATGAATGTAAATGTTCATACGCCTTTTGTTATACCAGCCAAGGGTCTCCTTCTGCCCCCTCAAACTTGGGGGCCTTATGATGAAATGAAAATGCCATGGACTACCGGGTCTCACTCTGATTTAGACCGCAATTATAGAATATCCTTTGCCTCGAACGCCAATCCTATGTATCGTAACATATCCAGACCAGAACTCTCTTCGAGTACCATTTCCTGACCTGGCCCTGGTCGCTCAATTTAGTCAACCATCGAGGTTGTATTATAAAATCCGAAAGGGAATCGCCGTAGGGTATCGCGAAGGGCGAAATGGTCGTTATTATAGTTCGAGTGGTATCATCTTGGTACTAGCGACATGCTTGGAAGTGCGGAGCCGCGATGCGCCAGGTTGGAATAGGGGAAAACAAAAAAAAAAAATGAGGTAGACTACAATTTTAAAGCCGCCATTTTAGTACATAGTAGAGGAATATTTTTGTCGAAGAGGAGCAGACCCGCGTGAGTTTCCGAGTGTTCAGGGCGTTTTGCCAACGAAAGGGCTGCACGGCAAAACTAGGAGTATATCACTACTCAGCGCCCTTCACATTTTTCTTCACGTTAAGTGCCCATTTCAGCTGGCCAAGTACGCGCTTCGCCTCCTCGAGAGCCCTCTCCTGCTCTTCTCCTCTCTCATGGGCGATTGTCTTGATATCCTTTAGCGCTTGCTCCTGTTCGCGCTTATAGGCCTCAAATTGCTGGGCAATTTCATCCTTTTGCCGCTGCAGGTCTCGAATGTTTCCGTCTTGCTGGTCACATAAATCGCGGAGAACGTTGATTTTTTCATCGTCCGTCCTACGTTCCTCAACCAGTGCTTTAATTCTGCCCTCAAGACCCGCCATGGCACGCTTCACTTCGTCACCCTGATCCTTCCAATGCGACGATATGGCATTGTATCGACCCTCCATTAATGCCGCATGCATATTAGCCTCTTCGACCTGAACCTTGGTGTCCTGGCGACTCTTCTCCATCTCTTCACGCCATATCCGTTCACGTTCTTGAGCATCTGCTGTACGCTTCTTCTCGAGGTCAACTATAGACTGTAGGTGCTCGACTTGACGTTCTTTGCGACTCAATAACGTCTTGGTTATTGTGGCTTCTAATAGGCGGGATTCATAGTCTGCGACCATATGCTCCATCTTGTCTTCGATTAGTTTAGCTGCTTGCTTTGCTTCCTCGGCCTTAAAACGCTCAATCTGGATATCCCGTTTCAAGGCCTCGTTGTCCGACACTAATTTATTAATCACTCTGCCTGTCTTTCCTAAACCGGCCTTACCGACGGTGCCGTCCCATTGCGGCGAACTTTCCGGCGCTCCGCCTGAACGATCTTCGGGCATAGGTGTCCCCGGAACCTGTAAAGATACGGTTGGATCCTCCGCCATCTCTTCTCCGGGGGTCGGATCACTTGCAGGCATATACAGGTCTTCACCTCGCGATATCGGTAAAGGCGGCCCTAAGCTAGGTGATTGCGGTTTTAACCTGACTGTTGAGCTGCTCTGCGCTTGTTGAGAACTATATGATGTGCCGCTGACATTGCTATTAATGGAACTTGAAAATCCGCTGTTTCGCGCGGACGGCGATTCCGACGAGATATCTGAAGGTGCCTCAAAGCTAGGGACGGTACGGATGGTAGATGGCATTTTGCTCTTGCTCTTGTTCTTGCCGTTAGGAGAGAAACCAGAGTTGGCATAGGTGTTGTGTTTTGACTCCAGGGTCGGACTGTGGGTACTCATGATGTTCACGTTGTTGAAAGTATGCGCCGGTTTCGATTTTGAATTGGCATTTAGTACACTATTGTCTGTGTATGTAGGTTCTATAGAAGAATATGTTAGTCTAGTTCCACCGCTTTCTGATTTGGAATATAGTGGTAATTTTGCTTTGTCCCGAACAGTAGGCCTAGAAGATGTAAGGAGACAAAGTTTCAGCTGTCTCCGAGACAATGCCAATGGATGTTTTGTGGGATAGAAACAGAAATGAGTGGATTATGCGAACATGTAAGCTGGATTATGTTTACCTTGTTTAATGCTTTGTCGAGTGGGAGTCAACGGCTCTCGATTAGGAATAGGACGTATTCGAGGGTTTTGCAATCGACTGGGCATTTCTCATTTCCCGAGTTTTTCTTGTTCACGTAGGGATGTTACGTCGCCTGTCAACGGATGGCTAGTAGCGAGAAAGATATCGAGGGGTAGATAAGCGCTTTATGACTTGTAGCGTTTTGCCTAGTTTGACGTTGGGTGTGTGGCGTGGAAGTGGAAGGGTTCTAAATTCGAGTTTGGACGCGATGGTGCCGGGGATATGTCATCCGGAGGACGGAGGACAAGGGCGCAAAACCGACGTCAATATACGAAGTAGATAATGGCTCTGTACAATGAAAGAGTAGTAAAGGTATAAAGGAATATGGAGAAAGCTCTTCGATTTTTGGCTATGCGCTCAACTTGGATCTTGGGTGTATTCTGTACATACGAAAGTAGCAACTTTAGGTAAACTAATGGAATTCTAAGGCTGACTTAAAGACGGAGGAGCAGCATTGAAATACACATTTCCATGTTTATGTGTACTATTATGTCGTGGGCCAGATCGCGGGCCTCCCCAATGTTGTTCTGTCAGACTACCTAAAAAAGGTATTCAGTGTAGTATTTACGAACAGCTGCTAGCGACTCGGCCTTGCTGTAGAAATACGGTACAATGATGCATTTAAAACGTTCGTGGCTGTTGAAAACGCGCTTTGCTCCTTTTGGTCTAGGCTCAACATCATAGCGTTGGCATCTGTACATAGTAGGCTGGCATCTGCATTAAAGCCACGCGTTAAGCCACTTTGAACCGCTTGAGCAGTCAGACTGGAAATTTAAGAATGCTGGGGTATTGGGTAACCCCGTGTCTAGTCCCTAACCAGGTAGGTACCTTAGGTACCTAGGTAGCTTCAATGATTCAACGGGCGCTATCTTACGCGGTATCAATCGACGCGTTTTGTCCCGTATCCCACCTTTCAAACTCCCTCCACAGTACCTTATGGGGTACCCATTCGTCCCAGCAACCACCGCGCACAAGATGTCATGGATGCAATTCAACTCTTCCCGACGGACGGTACCTAATTTAAGGGCCGCGATATACCCGCTTCTGATATATCAACATCTCTACCTTAAATTGGATCAAAGGTGACGGGGATGGTTACATGTGTAGGTTAGATCCGACAGCTTATTCGCAGTAATCTCCGTCAGAATTGCCCGCCATTCCCTCTTAGACGTCGCGTTTGCAATAGCGAACGAGAGACGCGTGCAATTATTGTACTCGGACGCGTGAGATGGTCTGCCGATCCTAGACTATATCATTTATTTACGATTTTCATTGGAATTTTGAGCAACCGCCACATTTTTGCGAAGAATTCAACGTGAGATATAGTTAAGATTAATATTTCTACTATTTTAATTTAATTATTAGGCAATTATAGTGCTTATGCAGTAGTCTAGTGGTTAGATTAGGTGCCTATATGTATGTATAGGTATACATGGCTCTCAGAGTCTATTCGGGAATAAATCGTAATGCTACTTACCTACATAGGTACCTATCATCTTGATTCTATCACTAAACTCTAGTTATAATCAACAATTACCTTGCTTTGGGACACGTCCGCTGACTGGAGCGTGATATGTGTTTCCAGGCTAGAACTATTAGTTTGCAGACATCAAGAAAATACTCTCATAAAACATATGCCTTTCTCTAGGTCTCAAGCCATATATCAAAATGGCGGCGCTCTCTCCGCTTGACAAACTTATGCCCCGGGGCTACATCCGCCAAATGTTTTGCTTCCCCTCGTCACATGCCGATGCTGTTGATACACTCAGAACAGGCTTAAGGGGGGTTGTAAATCATGTCCCCTACCTTCTTTCCGGGGTCCTTATTGGCAAAGACCAAAAACATATTTCCTTCAGTAACCCTTACCAAACACTAGAGGACCTCTACTTTAAACAAGACATTTCAGATACCATTGATTACGCCACTATCAAAGCACAGGATTTCCCGCCTTCGGCATTTACTGCACCGGGGATCATACCTCCTGACACGCAGCCCCCGTTTCTGAACCCGGCGCCGGTATTCCGGGCGAGCGTGTCGCTTGTTAAGGGTGGATTCATACTGTGCGTTGCCGTTCATCATTGCACAACCGACATCACTGGATTCGGGGCCTTGCTTAGGATATGGGCCTCTTACTGCCGCACAGGCACGTCTGCAGCGGCTGGATTTGACCCGTCTTGGCTAGACCGCGGAGCCTTGATTGAAAGACATAGTAGCCCCGACGTGACAGCGCCTACTTTTATGCCTAGGTTGCTCCACGCCCGGGGACCTGACGACTATGCTAGGCTTGCTGGTCCGGTATCATTACTTAATGATCTTAGGACCGGCATATTTTTCTTCCCGCAAACGAAGCTACAGGCGCTGCAGCATACTGTGAATGAGCATATCGCTTCTCGGGGGAATACAGGCTGGGTTTCTTCAGGCGATATTCTCACAGCGCTGCTTTGGAGTGCTATATTAGCCGCCGAACAAGAATTGTCCGTCACCGAATCGGACACAACGACTAACCAAACGGATACCAGCACAATAGGTTTCCCCGTGAACTTTCGCTCTCGTTATAACCCACCCTTACCCGCAAACTACCTCGGTGCCGCCTTTATGATGACAGCCGCCACAGCTTTACGGACGGACCTAATATCTTTTGCTACAAAGGCAGCCTCTTCTGGTGGCCACGCCCTATCAGATCCTATCTCAACCTCAAAACTAGCCGAGATTGCTTTCACAATTCGTGCTTCCCTTAGCAGTGTTGATGAGCAAAGCGTGCGAGATGTACTGACATATTTAAATACCGCGTCTAGTGACCATCCTCCAATCACGCTGGGGCCGCGCCATGATGGCATATCAATCGTCTCGTGGGCCGACCAAGGCGTGTATGAGTTAGATTGGGGCGTTGCTATTGGGAGATGTGACGCCGTCAGGTTGCCCAAGTTAGCATCTAAGAGATACCCTATCGTTCTACCTAGGATCCCAAGCAGGACCAACGGCGACGTGGGAGGTTTAGAGGTAATTGTTAGCTTCGATAGGCAAGTGTTCTTCAAATTTGAGCAGAGTTGGCCGATTAGACAATTCGCGACCACTCGATGTCGTTCGTAAAGCAGGATGTAGTGTTCATGTACACGCCGAGTTAACCTCGTAATCTTATAGAGCCGCATGCTGAGAACTCATATTCACAATATATTTTATAGAGGTACCTAAATATCATAGTGGGTTTTAACCTACGTTTTGGACATATGTATATCGCGAGAAATCATCATAATAACACCTCGTAAAGTACTTTATATTGTAAATCGTGATTATGTGCAAGTATTAACTGATATATACATGTAAGATGGTAGGAATATCGTGGAAGTCCATAAGCCCAAAGACGAACTAACTCCAAGGATACATGTCCCTATTTTATAGCGCAGTTACCGGTATTCATTATGATTGGTTGTGTTTTACCAACGCGATCAATTCGTCGTGTTCGCCGCTGTTTTTCAGCATGCCCCAGAAGGCGCCCTCAATGTCGATCAAGTCCCTAGGGGAACCGGCTCTGTAAAGTGGTCAATAATGAACAAAGATAATAAAGAACTCAAATAGGGGACATACTCTATAACTTTTCCTTCTTCCATAACAATTACTTGGTCATAATCGATGATAGTCCGCAGACGATGGGCAATGGTTATGATTGTCGAGCCAGCAAACTCCGAACGAATGATCTGCTGCATGCGCACGTCCGTCTCGTGGTCCACGGAAGCCGTCGCTTCGTCCAAAATAACGACTTTAGACCGGCGACACATAGCACGTGCGAGCCCGAGAATCTGTCTTTGTCCGTTGCTAAAGTTCTTACCGTTGGCCGCAACTTGAGTATGAATAGAAACTCCACGACCAGACGCTTGGCTATCGGCGTCGTGGATTTGGGTTAGACCGCACGCCGTAAGGACAGACTGCAGTTCTACCTCATCGAGTTGCCCTAAGGGGTCAAGATTCGATTTGATGTCCCCAGAGAAGATGACCGAGTCCTGCGGCACGAAGCTAATACTTTCTCGGAGACGTTTGAGAGGTATGTTGCTAATATCAACACCATCAATCACGATACTACCGGAAACGACGTGTGTGGAGCGTAGTAGGGAACGCGCAATGGTACTCTTACCACTGCCGGTACGACCGATGATGGCAACTCGCTGACCAGGCCGGGCGTTAAGTTTCACACCCCGCAGAATATCAGGGCCGTCCATCGAGTAGCGAACAGTCACATTCTGGAACTCTACATGACCAGTTGCCGGCCAAGCTGCAGGAATCTCAGTTGCTTTCGACTTTTCTTCCTCGGGGTTTACCTCAGGCTCGATTTCTGCGTACTCGGATACACGTTGAAACGAATTCAACTCCACTTCTAACTCGTTCATGTTCCTCACTAATGTCAAGATAGTTTGGCTTAGGCCAATAGCGTTAGTTAGCGAGAAGCCAACAAGACCCGGCGAGCCAGATTTATAGTAGGCTATGCATCCGGCTGCGACCGCTACTGTAGCAGCGCAAAAGTCGGAACGGATAGACACCCAGCGGTTGCAGTTGTATTGAGCTTCCATCGCGCGCATATACACGGCGAGCTTGTCAGCAAGGATGGTCTGGAAGACATCGTCCATCGGCTGGCGAGCTCTGATGACCGCAAGACCTCCGGCAGAATCGCTGAAGTGGGAGAAGATAGGTGAAGTTTGCACGGCGCAGAGGCGTTTGATCGATATCTGCGCTCTCGCGTATACTTCTCCTGTAGCAAAGCCGAGAAAGCAGAAGAAACTCGCCGGTAATGCAAAAATTGGCATGATGGACGCAATACTTGCCAACCGCAGAGCAAGCCTAATTCCGTTATCAAGTGTCATGCGTAACCAGTCAACTAGAAGGCTGTCCATAGACTGTATATCTACACCGAACCGGTTGATAATACGACCGACAGGCGTATTATCGTACCAAGATATAGGAGCATTGAGAACAGCAACAATCAGTCGCTCGTGCATAGTCTTCGCCGCTTTCCACCCTCCCCTTTGATAAATATAATTGTTGAGAAATTGGAGGGATATGAACGCCATGACCGTGCCAATATGTATGAGGAGATATGTTGTCGCTTTGGAAGAGTAGTCGGGCTTGGATGATAATCCAGTCCAGATGGACAACCAAAATGTGATCGAGAAATAGGCAATTTGTACCAGGAAGGTATTCAGGATCGTTAGAGTAGCGGTAACGTAGCCCCCAAAGAGTAGCATATATCTAATAACTGTTTAGGGGATTCTAATTAGCGTCGTTCCTTGTAGTCGTAGGGTCTTGAAGAAACTTACTGAATCCACGTGGGACGCGCCCCGACGCCCTCTTCTCTTCGGTTGCAGTTTCGTCTACGTCCACTTCGTGAACTTCATGATTTACTAAGTCGGTAGTTTCATCTTGTACAAGAATTCCTCCTGTCGGAGGGGCCGTGGTTGATTGCGATGAGAAATCGACGTCAATCTCTTCCTGGTGGGTTGTCCAGTACGACTTGGCGTCTTTGGAAGGACTTTTAGCATTTGTCTTCACATAAGACACTCTCCCCTGAGAAAACGCCACCAATAGTTCGGCATCTTCTATAGCCGTGGTAAAATGTGTTACTAGAATGATTGTCCGGTCGTCTAGGAGTCCGCTACGGAAGCATCGCTCGTAGACCCTCGAGGCAGTATGAGTGTCAAGCGCAGAGAATACATCGTCTAGAAGAAGGGTGGAAGACGATGAGTATAATGCTCTCGCTAATGATATCCTTTGTTTCTGACCTCCGGAAAGGCTAGACCCCTGCTCTCCTGCATGCGTCAAGTCGCCCGAAGGCAATTGTGCCAGGTCTTCTACGAGGTCGCAAGCATGGATGATTCGCCTATATCGGCACTCGTCATATGAGCTATAGAACAGAATGTTTTGTCGGATGGTGCTGTTTTGTAACCAGGCTGTCTGGGGCACGTAGGCTACGTCTGGAGGACAAGTTGCCTTTCCGCTTTCAAGAGTTGTCTCGCCCAAGAGCGATAGGAGCAAGGATGTCTTGCCACTACCGATTGGTCCCGTCACGATATTAAGCGCCTTTTCGCGAAATGAGATGGATATATGACGGAGTCGGAATCCGGAGGAACGTGTCAAGCAGAAAGTCGCATCTGTGAGCTCGGGCGGGCCAGCTGGGAGACGTTTTCTTTCCTCGGCTAGTTCGAAAAACTTGTCGACTCGTTGTAGTGATTTATGACCTTGTGCTACCCATTGGATGACCTTAGAGAGCCATACGAACTGCGCCCGTAATATTTCCGTGAGGGACAGTGCTGTGAAAGCCGTCGGAGCTCGCAGTGGTCGATCTGTAAAGAGGACAAATGACGTGAACATAGCGAGGAGACTGACAAGAGAGAGCATATCGCCAGCCATGAAAATGAGCATAGAAGTTACGTTGCGCTTCCAGATCCGCTGTTGTTCTGTAGCGCGAATGGTGTTGATCATCTTGGCTGCCACATCTTCCCAAGCGAAGAATTTTAGAGTTCGAATCGACTGTAAATATTCAGAGATTCTTGACAGTCGACTATCCGTTACCTCCATTACCAAGCCGTGCAACCGAGACTGGCGTCCGGAAAGCCGGGCGGGAAGCGAGGTAAGAGATAGTAGAACTGCAACGCCAATAAGAGATGACCACCCTAACAACTGGTATAAAAACGTCATAGCTATTACCGCTGACACCGTACTCGCTGTTAGAGCGTAGAATATGTCAGTTACATTAGCGATCGCATCAGCATCGTATGACAGTAGGCTTTCCATATTGACAGAGTTTGTCTTATCCTTTGTTTCCGTATCTTTGGATCCGGGTTGTGTCTGTGGGTCGATTTTTTCTTGTATGCTGTTGTCTGTCCTTGCCCATAACATCGTCTGGTATATTTCCTGGATCATAGTCGCTTTGGATAGTACAAGGAGCCGCGTGCCCGCAAATATAGATCGTTGGTAGCAGACAGAACGAGTCATAGGCCCGACGAATAGGAGTGCAATCCACACGAATGGATGAACGACTGTAGCGGTTGCGTCAGGGTCTTCGAGATAGCCCAAAAGATAGAACATGGCACATGGCGCAAGATACTCTGCCATTGCGGTTGCGATTGACCAGAGCATTATCGTCTTGATATCGTTCCGAAACGTTCGACAGAGGGTCCAGAAAGTTCTTCCCCCTTTTAAACGAGCTTTGCGCATACGTTGTAGCAATGTTGTCGGCGCATCGTATGTCGGTAGAGGAGGAAGATCGTCTATGACCAAGTCCCGGGAGAAGCCCCGAACCATGAGATATGTAAGCCATTCGTAAGAGAGATAATACGAGAACCACGAGCAGGTTTCTTCGGGAGATAGTTCCCCATCCACGTCATCCGAGCCCTGACTCTCCGGGTTAAGCTCTTTCCTTCGTACAAGACGTGGCGAGACGAATGAAGCCATAAATGCAGATGCCAGGCAAGCGAGTTTAACGCACTCAATACTTGACGGGTTATTATGTGGACCAATAATCGCAATGGGCAATAGGAGTCTGATAGCTTCCAAGATGGTGAAAATCACTATTATAATGTTCATGTGGCGGCTCAAAAGAATGCTTACAGCCTTGAGCCTCCAGGCGAATTGTGAAATTCCCAGGAAGAGCAGATAGCCCAAAGCAAGTGATTCCATCCATGGTCCATTTTGGAACTTGAAGTACAGCGTCAGAGATAATGCTGCAGCGAGGGTAGCTATTTGCGTAATGGCATACTCGAGCGGTGTATAAGGCCTACATATCCGGTCGACACGACACTTTTCCGTGCGGCGGTAGAATCCATTGGACCAAATAATAGACACTAATAGTAATACAAGGGATAGTCCAGCGCATGCGAGTTGCAAGCGACCATTTCCTATAAAGTTAGATAGCTTGGCTACACGGCGTTGCCATATTTCACTACGGGACTAGTTAGGCAAATACTGATAAATATAAGAAAACTGCAATGAGCTTACATACCTCTCAGGAGTTTTCTCATCCAATAGGATCCCGGGGCCTACAATTGGTATCTGCGACACATCGGAGTTCATGAGGTGCTGGAGAACTCGGTGCATGTTCGTCCTCGTCGTAGTCGTAGGGCATGTTTATTCTCAAGTGTGTAAGTCCAGCGGCCGGGGACGAAATGCTTTAAACACAAGGCGATAGATTACCTAGGCGGCCCTTAATTAGGCCCTTTTCACAGCTCGGTTTAAGCCGCCCGTTGACGACTTCACTAAATGGCCGCTTAGAGTAACACTAATATTTGGGGTTAGCTACCTGTTCTATATGAAGGCCGAATATCCCTTAAAAACGGCTTATGATAAAAATGTAGCTCTAACATCGCTAAGCTACTATCTATTATTGGACATGAGGATACCGACGCGGCCTGGTCCGAGAGGCGAAGGCTTGATAAATGCGGTAGCTATCACCCGATTGGATAAACTAGCCCTGTCGAGTTATACTTCATACTCCATACTCCATATATCTCCGTGTAAGACGATAAAAAAAGATTCAATTAAAAGCTGTCGGTAGTGTTGTAAAGGTTGTGGACCCTTAAAGGGCGGGACCCGGTTTGTCAATTCATAGGAAGATATGTAGATAGGTACTTAATACAGTGCCCATCGCACTTTGTTGGTCAAAAGCAAGCTATTATCTAACCAGTTTGACAGCTTGATAATGGTAGTACTCTCCAATACCACCACCTACATGCAGGTATCATAGTGGAGGACGCTACTGATTAAGATATGAATTAGATATAACTAGGTAGGTATGTATATGTATTGGGTATTCCTTAGATATGATCCGTTCATGTATTGTACTGTCAGCCGATGAGATATCATCACTATAAATTTAGGACTTTCAAAGTCCGTTCTTCATGAGCTTAATAATGGAAAAGCACCGAGTAAATATTCCCTACGAGCGCAGAAGGCAGTTCGGCAATGCCAGATTTCTGCTTTTCTGCTCATTAGCTTTTCTCTGTTTAATCTCTTTATACTTTGGCCCGTCACTGCGTTCGCAAGTCAGGCATTGCTTGAACAGATCATGCAATAATCAGTCGTACCATGATGACCCAGAGAAATGGTGCCCCTTACCGGATGTCACAGTCCCTAAAGACGACGGCCTTGAGCCGAGCGAGCATTTTATGAACCCTCGGCAGCTACAACTCCAAGTCCAGCGTCTTTCCGCTGCCGTACGCGTTCCAACCGAGAGCTACGATGACAATGGCAATGTCGACCAGGATCCTCGCTGGGGAACGTTCCAAGACTTCCACCAGGTGCTAGAACAATTATTTCCGCTTGTGTAAGTGATAACCACTCACAAATTGAGGCCCACCCTCGTATTCTTTTTACGTATTCTTATTCTCGGAAACATATCTAGGCACTCGCAACTTGAGCTTCGCAAGGTAAATCGTTATGGCCTTTTATATACGTTTAGAGGTGAGGATACTTCTAAGAAGCCCATTCTGTTGACGGCACATCAAGACGTCGTACCTGCAGGCACTGCTTCCCGTTGGACATATCCGCCATATGAAGGACATTTTGATGGGTCTTTTATATGGGGCCGAGGTGCGGCTGACTGTAAGAACGTCCTCATCGGTATCCTCTCGGCTATTGAGGATCTACTCTCGCAGTCCTTTGTGCCTCGCCGCACTATTGTACTCGCTTTTGGGTTTGACGAGGAGACGGGCGGTGTTAGAGGCGCGGCCGCGTTAAACCAATCTCTAGTTGAAGAATGGGGCCTACAGTCGTTCTTGTTTATTTTGGACGAGGGTGGTATGGGAGTCCAGAATCAAGGGGATATTCTCTATGCTTATCCTGGCGTAGGAGAGAAAGGCTACTACGATATCCAGCTGTCACTTGAGGTTAATGGCGGCCACAGCTCGAGACCCCCGAGGCATACCGGTATTGGTATCATGGCAGATGCAATCGTAGCATTGGAAAAAGAGCCCTATGCTCCCCGCTTAACACATTCGAATCCATTTCGCAGGGTATTAGAATGCAGAGCGAGATACTCTCCTGAGGCAGTTCAACCATGGTTACGTGATGCACTTCTTAGTGGAGACGAGTATGAAATTGCCGAGAAGCTCGCCAAAGAAGAAACAGAAGAGAAATGGCTAGTTCAGACAAGCCAGGCCATCGACGTCATCAACGGAGGCGTTAAAGTCAATGCTCTGCCCGAGAATATTGAATTCCAAGTGAACCATCGCGTAGCGCTACATGAATCCAACCAGTACATCGAAAATCACGTCCGGAGAGTGCTGGACCCTGTGATACGGAAATATGAGCTTGAGTTTCAGGCTGAAATTCACAGCACCTCGCATACAGAGGACTCGGAACTAGAAACCACTTCGTCTGGAATCTTAAAGTTGAAAACGCTACAGATAATTGATATAGCCCCAATATCAGCAACTGATAATAATGTGTGGAATGTCTTCAGCGGTACTATACGGCATGTATTTGAGAGCACAGAGAGTGGACAGGACAGAATTGTTGTCCCGGCTGGGAATATCATGACGGGAAACACGGACACTCTTCATTATTGGAATCTTACGGACAATATATACAGATTCACCCCATCCAGAAATGGAACGAGGTTGAACCAGCACGGGATCGACGAGCGGATGGGGCTGACTGCTCACTTGGAAGGCATGAGGTTATATTATGGTAAGTGACCGGATATAGAATATTTCTGGATACATGTACTGAGATTTTTGACAGATTTGATCCGGAATTTTGATGGTTGGGACGGCGCATGAATCGAGTCCATCAGCTCGGATACATAGGATCTCAGATGAAGAGAAGCGACTATGTTGGATGAATATAAGTAAGATGATCAAACTGGTGTTATGTGGATACATGATCATCGGGGGAATAGGAGTCGTATCAGCTTGTGCGTGCAATCGGCGATTAGTAAGTATATTATTGTAATAAGCTCAGTCATAAATACCTCCTACAACGCCTTTCCCAAGTCCAGAGACCGATTCGGGCAGTGAGGACACTATCTACCTAAACTACCACCTACCTACGTTAGATAGGTGCCTTTCCTGGTAGCGGCTCTACGCGTGTTGTGATGATATTGAATTTGCTCATCCGATGGCATTCGCGAACTCTTTTACGCAGATTGCACACTTTGAGAATGAGGATTCAAACCCGCTATCAGCCAGGTAAGTTAGATTAGACCTAACGAGAAATTCCGCTCTTCGTGATGCTTGCGTGAGCACGAGGTAGATATATAAATCAGCCCTAGTTCTGCCGCATGGCATGGCCTCGGCCAGATAATAGGATAATGCAACCACCTTACTATAGATACTACGCCATAATACATTAGTATCCTCTTTTAACATGGAATGTTTTAGCAGATGTATGGTATCTCAGACAATGAATAATCCCGAATGTTGCTTCATGACATCAAGGTAGTCAACCCGGACTCCTTTAGTACTCTGGATTTTGATGACCTGTTCAAGCAGCAAACGCGTCCTACGAAAATTAGCTCCCCAAATTTCAGCCTCCATAAGTGTCTTAATCACCCAGTCCTGATAAACGACATCCGTAGTCTCGATACCGGCCAGGAACAGAAGACGCGGCCAGATATTTTGTGGTGAGGGTGGGCGCAACCGGCCGACTAAGGATGCTAGACGCACGATGTAAATCGCCGCTAGTTCGGCTGGCTTGAGTTGATTCGGTACATTGGCAGATACAGGAGCAGGAACCTTCCTGTGGTAGTTTATCACAACTCCGTAATACGCTGCCAGGAGTAGTAGACAGTTAAAACATTTTGTCGTAATTTGACCGGCGAGAGCGCGGCTCGGCTCGTTAATATAGGCGATGATCGGCGCAACCGAAGGATCGCGATCAAACCGTTCGCGGAGGGTAATGAGTCCGGACTGTACATGAGACCACAATGCAGTTGGCGCGGGACCCGTCCTACGATATAATTGGACTATCCGGCTATCCAAAAAGTCAAGCTCCAGGGACAAGCGCAGAGAAGGCTTTAAATCTTCTGTGCTGGCGGGTAAGTTTGGAAACGCGGCGTCTATGAAATTGTATTCTGCACAGAATGACTCGAGGTTCTCCAAGAGACGTCCTGTGCCTCCGATCCAGGCCCCCCGAGCATCGTATGCACCTAACCAGACTAGCATACGAGAGCCGACGTATCCAAGCGGCGTTGCCTCTCCGCCAGCTTTTAGGTGGCGACGGTGAGCGTCAACAAGATCCGCAATAAATTCCAGGTGCTGGCAGTAACCACTAATATCCCGTGCTGCAAGGAGTTCGAACTGAAGGGCAAACCAAATGGTAACAATAGAACGTTCAAAATTGATAGCGACAGTTTGGTCTCGATGCAGCATTGCGATGGCAAGCGAGTATCGCTCTTCTGCCTTTCGAATTAGGTCAGGCTCAGGCCCCGTTTGGCCAAGATGCAAGGCCGTCCACGCTAATATGGTATTGAATAATGGCGCATAGAATAGGGCCATGTTACTGAAAACGTGGCTATAAAGGTTCTCCTCGCCTGTGCTACGTAACTTGGCGAAGCCAGTCATGACATTCAAGAAGTGTTGGATGAGTCTATGGTCATCAGGACGGATAACAACAGCAGCGTCCTGAGTACTCGAAATAGGACCTGGGATTTCAACCTGACACGGCTCTGATTCCGACTCAGATGATAACATTGGATTTCCCGGAGTGTGTGGGGATAGCCATTCTTCGCCGAGTAGATCGAAGTTCATATTAAGGTCAAAGAAGGCCGGTATGTAACCGGGGTTTAATTGGGTATGGGCTTCGTACACATTCAGCTGTGAGATGGTCTTGGTGTTAACCATACCGGGTTCCGGAACCACCTTGGGTTCGGCGCCATGCTGAGGCGGCAGGCCTCCGGAGGAGACCTGACCGGGAGAGTGATGCGGCACGGCAGAGGTGCCCGGCGCATTTCCGCTAGAGCTCGGTTCTACATCGACCCTTGTATTTTCCTTGAGAGGCTTCTGTTTGAGCTTGGCTTCAGGGGCAATACGTTGCTGAGATGAGTCAGACGAAGTAGTCTTGTCATCTACGCGCGATCTCGTGTAGCGAGAATTAACAAAACGCACGCGGTAGCGAAGCGTCTCTGTAGAATTTGTACGATTAGGCTCGTAAGAGCAAGTTAAAGACAGACGTGTACATGCGTTGCAAATAGGTTTCGTCTCGTCGCATCGTACTTTGCGGCGACGGCACGAGGAACAACCCGTCTTGGACCTCGCTGGCCGAGTTCGATTCATGTTTGTTGTGAGATTGGAAGACTAACTTTGACTAATTGATGTGTCGGGATCCATACAGGTACACATTAGGCGGAGGGCAGAGAGACCCTGAAGGAGCCAACGGGATGTGGGTCTGCACTACTTTGCGGGGCTTCGGAATTGCTCCTACTTCTTTAGGTAAGTTCCTTAGGTAGTCAAGTTGGCGAAGAACGAACGACATGTCGAGAAACTTCGCAAGCTCTAACCACACATTGCCTAGTAGGTACCTGTCGTACCCTAGTAAGTCTAGTACCTATGTAAAATGCCTATGTAGGTTAGGAAGTAGGTACCCAGTCGCATAGATAAGTAATTTGCTAATGAGGATATCAATGCAAGCAGGCAATAGGCAATAACACTATGCCTAGGTACCTAGGTACCCTGTGCTGTTGCCCTATATGGAATTTGTATACAGATGGACATAACTACCTAAACCAACTGATAACCAAAAAGCCAAACTAAAACTTCCTTTACCCACCCGACCTTAATCCTAGCTTCAACACCAATTTCTCCCGCATAGTCCCTTTAGCGGCGGTTTAGAGACAAGGCGTAAGGTCGTTGTGAGTAGCTTTATAAGGCGATGACAAGTAGGCTATCTTGACAATTGACCCGACTATTGTCACTTTGTTCTACTTGATTCTCCAGTGTTCAATAGACGGTGTCTCCAAGCACGCGTCTGGACAGTACAGAAATATCCAAAATGGAGAAGAATCCGGATAGGACCACAGCCGAGTCTGTACGCGATGGGAGACCAGATGATGTCGACAACGCGTACGAGTTTGCAAAGGAGCACGCCGTCGGGCCTTTGAGCGACAAGGACAATAAGCGCATCTTGCGCAAGATCGATAGCCATCTGTTGCCCCTGGTACACATACATGAAGACCTCGTCCATCTAATCGCATTGACCAATTGCTAACGATATCTGGCAGATGATCATCACCTATACTCTGAACTTCATGGACAAGAATGCCCTATCCTATTCGGCCAATTTCGGCCTCATTACTGACAACGTGCGTTTTTTAATGTGACTCTCAGCCTCTCAGCCTCTCAGCCCCTCAGCCTCTCATCTGTAAAGCGACTAAGTTTTCCTGCCTTAGAAACTAGTAGGAAATCAATACAGCTGGGCCTCCGGATCCATTTTCTATCTTACGTACATGGTCTCCCAGCCTTTTGTCGCCCGCCTGATTGTACGATTCCCTATCGGCCGCTTCGTCGCCGTTGCTACCACACTTTGGGGCGCTGTGTTGATGACGACGGCAGCGTCGCGTTCTTTCGCTAGCTTAATGGTCATCCGTGCTATCCTAGGTTGTCTCGAATCTTGTATCAACCCTGCCTTTATTGTTATATCCTCTCAATGGTGGACGCGCGACGAGCAACCGCTACGAATTTCGTACTGGTATCTCGGTAACTCGATCGGTCAAGTCTGCGGTGGACTACTTGGTTATGGTATTGCTCATATCACGAGCCACAATGTCCCGAACTGGGGTTGGTTCTTCCTAATTTTCGGTGCCATCACCATCCTCTACGGCATCTTCCTATTTTACTACCTTCCCGATTCACCGTTGAATGCTCGTTGGCTTTCAGATCATGACCGAGCCTTGGCCATCGAGCGTGTTCGGAGCAACCGCACTGGAGTCGAGAATCATGTATGGAAGTGGTCACAGGTCAAGGAGTGCGTACTGGATATACAATGCTGGCTTCTTGTAGCAACCTTTTTCCTCGACGATATTCCTGCCGGCGGAGTTGGTTCGTTTGGCAGCATAGTAGTCAAGGGGTTTGGTTATGACGCTCTCTACTCGACCCTTCTTCTAGTACCCTTAGGTGTGATTCAAGCCATATGCATCCTCTTCGGAGGTTTCATGACCAGGCGCTTCACAAATATCCGAACTTGGCTTATTGCCGGTATGTGTTTCTCGACAAAAACGTATCTCTCCACTCATTTCTTTTGCGCTGACCATACGTTTAGGCTGCCAAATCCCGGCGCTTATCGGAGCCGTTCTGCTCTACACTCTGCCTCGAGAGAATTCACGTGGGCTGCTCGGCTCGTACTATATTGTACAGACGCATGGTATAGTCGGCACACTCACTATGTCGCTAGTGTCTAGTAATTTTGCCGGGTATACAAAGAAAGTTACCGCATCCACGATGATGTATGTGGCCTTCTGCGTTGGACAGGTCGTTGCTCCTCAGCTTTTTCTCCCACGCGAGGCGCCAGCATATAAAACCGCCTTTCTCGCTGCTTTCGTATGTTTTGCCCTGTGCATCGTGTTCACCATTGTTCTACGATTCTATCTTATTTGGGAAAATAAGAAACGAGACCAGCTTCACTTATCAGAAGGAGAGCTTAGCAACACCGACAATGAGTTCCTCGACCTGACGGATAAGCAACAAAAGGCTATCTTCCGTTATGTTCTCTAGGAAACGGCATTCGCAACAGAGGTGATCTATAGGAAGACAGCTAACATTTGTGCGTGCCCCCTATTTAGTAGGAAGGACGCATCTATGCATGTTATGAAGTTATAATACCTACCTAATCTACAGCGGAGATGTAATAGGTAAGGTGTTGCTAGCGGGAGTTTCTATACGATTTTTATATTTTTAATATGATTAGGAGAATGAATATATCATGTATTACGAGTTTCAACGTGGAAGAGAAGGAGGAAAGAACCGGAGGCTCTTTGTTTATGTGCACGAGTTACAAGATGAAATTACCAACATATTACATATTCCCACCCACATAGCAAAGCTGCTTCTATGTCTGGATGCCTAATATACCTAATATGTAGGACTTGTAATATTC